TCTCTCTCCCTCTCTCTCACAGTTAAATGCGGTTGTGGATGCTGGGGATCCAGATGAATGCGATGCTCATAAAGTGTGCGTTTGAAAGCCATCCATCATGGAGATGTCTGAGGGAGAGGAGCACAAAGCACAAACTCCGTGTGCGTGTGCACATGGGGCTTAGTGTATATATGCATGTGTGCGTATGGGAAAGTTATTGGTATGTGCTATAGTATGAGAAAGTATGAATTTCCTATAGAAAACTCAGTCTGTGCTAACTCTATGGTCATTACTGTGTAGTAATGTTATTATTATTACATTAACCATAATGTGTTGTTCTTAATGGTGATTATAAGTGGTGAACTGTTACTATTAGTGTTCGGCCTTCAGTTCACCGAAAAATGAGAACCACCTATACGGTACTGCTAATGTCTGCTAGCACCACTATGGGATTTCTAATAGTGTGTTAGCACTATGTTAATGCTTGTTCTACATTAACCACAGACATTTGAAGCTTATAAAACACAGTTTTATAGTTTTAAATTGGATCAAAGTGCCGACGCCTAGACTGCGGCTTGTATTCACAGTGAGTGACGCATGTAGAACTTCCTGAAGGACTAGAGTGATGTTTTTCTCACTATATTGGTTCCATTATAAAACCAGACGTGATCGGTTGGTTCCTCTGTCACTTTCTAACGATGTTGGAAGTAATCTAACATGTGAGGCCTTCAGTTCAGCTCCTGACCAATTGGAGAGCTCGATTGGCTGAATCTACAGAGAAAACAGGCCAGATTGGATAGATTTTAACTATTTTGTTTCCAAGCAAAACTAAACCATGAAATAAGAGTATTACTAAAATCCATGTCTTTAATGCTAAAAGCTATAGATGTATTTTTAAGCTCCCAGATAATGAAGAGAAGAGGTGACATAATCAAACGACTTCTGAGCTGATAATCATTTGCAGTACTGTATTTTTATTAGAACAATCAATTATTTATTCTGATTTTATATATATATATATATATATATATATATATATATATGTATATATATATATATATATAAAATGGAGATACAAAAATGGAGATACAAGGTTTTCTTCAGCAGCGATATATATATGCTAAGTAATTTTGGATCAATTTTATTGGTTATATTGAAATTGTCACACAGTGTAAAAGGAAGCCACAATGGAGTAAAAATTAGAAAGAAGAGTTCTGATATCATAGTGACAATATGCAGATAGATTATTCATTTACCCAGTAATGTTAAGAAAGGTATAATAATAAACCATATAATAATAATTATTGGTATAATTATATAGTAACATGGTAGAATTAAAAAAAATGTAAACTTTGCAAGAAACAGGAAAAAATTGTTCCCTTTTAATAGTAATAGATGCTAATTTAACAAGATTTAACAAGTAATTTTGGACAGTTCCTATTGGTCCACTCATTAAGAAATTATGAAATTATGCAAATACATCAAAAATGATATATATATATATATATATATATATATATATATATATATATATATATATATATATGAAGTCATTAATTAGAATTATATGCAAAAAAAAATAAAATCATCAAAACTTCATCACATTTATTTATTGAGCATGAATGAGTTAATAAGCTTTATTTATATTGCTTCAAACCACAATTAACTCACTTATACTTTTGTTACTTTGATACTTAAACATGTAAAGATCTTATTAATGACAACACAGTTAAATTAGACTGAATGTAACACATAGTTTGTAAATAACACATATAATACCAACATTTTCAAATCTATCAGGTCACTGTGGACTATTGGTCCATTTCATCATGTAATACAATATAAGGGGCAGTTTTTCGAACAGTACAGAAAGCGTCAGCGTTCCTCTGCTTTAGTTAATGAGCTGTGTATGTTTATTGCTTCTCTGCTGTTTAGAACTGTAACACAGTGTAGGCGATTAATATAAAGTTGACCTTCACTTTCAAAAAGTGCATTTTAATATAAGCACATTCATTGAAGTGGACTTTTTAAACATGCTGGATGTTTGTATTTTAACATCTTTCATTATTTCTATTTTTCTTAGGTGTAACTGTTGCTTTTACATGAAATAATTCCAGTTAGTTATATATTTATCACCTTAAAGTAGATGTAAAGAGGTTAATGTGCTGCCAGTATGAATAATAACTCCTGATTATTACTGAAGCAGCGTCTATGGGATAAACTACCATCCCATGGTAGTGTTATATCACTCTCTCCGGTCTGTAGTGATGCTTGGCCGACATGGTGTGTCAAACTATCAGTGAAAAGTGAACTGAGTGCTCTAACAGTGTATTAAACAGGGCAGGAGCTGATCTCCATTACAAAAGGGCCTTTAGAACGACTGAGGCGTCTAAAAGGAAGAGAGAAAAACAGCAGAACAAACAGAGAGAGAGAGAGAGGGGAAAATGCCCCAGGCAGTGCTGAGACACAGAGATGGGAGTGTGTGTGTGTTTGGGGGGGTGAAGGCAGGTGGGGTGGCAGAAGGAGGCTGGTGGTGGAACTTAGTTTCAAAAAGCAGAACAAGATGCAAAATATTGTCAATATCATTAATGATTGTACAACAGGAGGAGAATATTATTTTGTCTGTTCATGAATATTTTTTGCTTTTGCTGATTTAACTATTTATGCAAATCTGGACAAAATTTTAAACTGTGGACTTAAATCATTTCAATATGTGTGTGTGTGTGTGTGTGTGTGTGTGTGTGTGTGTGTGTGTGTGTGTGTGGGTGTTTATTTTTGTAGTTTGTTTTTATGCATGTCTTGAATCTGAAGTAAAACCAGAGAAAACCAGGACTAACAATAGGCTTTTTTTTGAAAAAAGTTTAATTTTTTAATTTAATTTATTTTTGATATATATATATTTACATATCATCAAATCTCCAAATTTATAACTTTCTTATCATTTTTAACTTTTGAATGAATAGAGCAATTTTGAAACTCTGAACCATTTGTTGCTCCATTCATATTGAAATTATATAATTATATGTATGTATAGGACATATTATTATTAAAAAAAAATTTCATATATATATTATATATATATATATATATATACTACAAATTAAGCATATTATTATTACATATAGACACCCACTTGTTATCATTGTCACAACAAAGTTTCGTATTTCCAAATGTATATGTGAAGTGAAAGGAAGATTTTTTGTTCCCTGAGAAACTTTGAACCTTTTCTGCTCCTTCAAAAATAAAAAAAAACACATCAAAAAGGGCGGCTGGCATTTTCCAATTCTGTAAAAAACAAAAACCAAAAAAAAACAATAAAACCAAATGAAAAATTGTAAAAAGTGTAAAATTACACTTAGGTATCAATATAATCATAAAATACATACGGAATATTTGTGTGAGCACATGTTCTGATGAGATATAAAAACAAACGTGCATGTGTGTGTGTGAGGGAGTGTGAGTGAGTGAGTGTGTAAGGGCAGGTGGGACGGCGGTGGGGGGGTGTTGGGGGTGCTGGTGGATCAACAGCTTGCTCCACCCTGAGGGCCCGCAGAAGCCTCTGCCAAGGAGCGAAGGGCAGGACGGCTGGTGGCAGCTGGTGCAAACGCCCTGAACCCCCACCACACACACACACACACACGCACACACACACACACACAGCAGGCAGGGTGAGAAGGTCAAAAGCCCGTCGTTAGGAAGACAAAGAGCGGCATGGCCACACGCCGGATAATCGGCTTTTATTGAGTGCCTCCGACAAGACCAGCAGAGAGACTGACACTGATACTGAGCGCGCACACACACACACACACACACACACACACACACAGAAAGAGAGGCTGTAAGTGTCGGAGGCGGGAATGTACACAGTGAGCTGAAACACTAACACTAAAAGCAGAGATCATTCAGAATCCATGAATAAATCATGGTCTACATGTATTTTGAAAGAGCCCTTAGCTGCTCTCTGCACCCCCCTAGTGGCTCTAACTCAAATACTTTAAATTAAATTAATCAAATAAAAAAAATCCCTGCAACTCTGTTATCAGATCAGGACTCTGTTGTGACTGTGTTGAGCTGCTACTGGGCAATGAGGAGTAAAAGGGGCAGCGGTTAAACCCCCTGCTGTGAAAAACAATTCACACCTCTACACAAAGACGGCTATGCTGAGATAAAACAGTCTGCAGTTTTCTTCATATCAAACGATCCTGCACAACTGACACAGTAAAAAATGTAAACACAATAAAACACAGAATGTATATATATATATATATATATATATATATATATATATATATATATATATATATATATATGTAAATTTACAGCATAAGGAAAATATTCCCTAACTTGTAATGGACTTTCTATTGTTATATATGAAACTCTTTTGAATGGATGAACACAAATGGTTCAAAATTGCTTGGAAGAAATTGTGGTTGCATTAACTTCTGTTATAAATTAATAATGTTTTTATTTCTCCTCCTGTAACAATATTATCATTTTGGACATATGAGGTTTTGTTCCAGAGTAATATATACAGACATACACATACATATGTCCCATTTGTTTCATGTGCATGTACTTCTCTCTCTCTCTCTTGCTCTCTCTCTCTCTCTCTCTCTCTCTTTCTCTCTCAGACAGCTATGAGCTCATCTCTGTCTCTCATTACTAGTCTCGCGCTGCTCCATTGACCGGAGAGGCGGAGAGACAGTTTAACTCTCCACGCCACTGCACTCGGAAGTGTGTGTGTGTGTGTGTGTGTGTGTGTGTGTGTGCTGGTGTTTGATGTTGAGTGTGCGGTTTTGTAGATGTTTAGTCCGGCGGATGGATCCTCTGAGTTCTGTCCCGTTTAATAATGAGAGCAGACAGGAAACGCCTCCTGATCGGACACAAGTCTAAACTTTAATTCCACATCACAGCAGAAGAACAAAGGAGCTGAGGAGAGGAGTAGAGGAGTGGAGGAATGGAGGATCGGAGGGTTAGAGGAGTAGAGAAGTGGATGAGTAGAAAAGTGGAGGAGTGGAGGGTTAGAGGAATGGAAGAATGGAGGAGTAGAGGAGCAGAAAAGTGGAGGAGCAGAGGAGTAGAGGAGGGGAAGAGTGGAGGAGTAGAGGAGTGGAAGAGTGGAGGAGTAGAGGAGTGGAAGAGTAGAGGAGTGGAAGATTGGAGGAGTAGAGGAGTGGAAGAGTGGAGGAGTAGACTAGTGGAAGAATGGAGGAGTAGAGGAGTGGAAGAGTGGAGGAGTAGAGGAGTGGAGGAGTAGAGGTGTGGAAGAATGGAGGAGTAGAGGAGTGGAAGAGTGGAGGAGTAGAGAAGTGGAAGAATGGAGGAGTCGAGGAGTGGAAGAGTGGAGGAGTAGAGGAGTGGAAGAGTGGAGGAGTAGAGGAGTGGAGGAGTAGAGGAGTAGAAGAATGGAGGAGTAGAGGAGTGGAAGAGTGGAGGAGTAGAGGAGTGGAAGAGTGGAGGAGTAGAGGAGTGGAGGAGTAGATGAGTAGAAGAATGGAGGAGTAGAGGAGTGGAAGAGTGGAGAAGTAGAGGAGTGGAAGAGTGGAGGAGTAGAGAAGTAGAAGAGTGGAGGAGTAGAGGAGTGGAAGAATGGAGGAGTAGAGGAGTGGAAGAATGGAGGAGTAGAGGAGTGGAGAAGTAGAGGAGTGGAAGAATGGAGGAGTAGAGGAGTGGAAGAGTGGAGGAGTGGAGGAGTGGAAGAATGAAGGAGTAGAGGAGTGGAAGAATGGAGGAGTAGAGGAGTGGAGAAGTAGAGGAGTGGAAGAATGGAGGAGTAGAGGAGTGGAAGAGTGGAGGAGTGGAGGAGTGGAAGAATGAAGGAGTAGAGGAGTGGAAGAATGGAGGAGTAGAGGAGTGGAGAAGTAGAGGAGTGGAAGAATGGAGGAGTAGAGGAGTGGAAGAGTGGAGGAGTGGAGGAGTGGAAGAATGAAGGAGTAGAGGAGTGGAGAAGTAGAGGAGTGGAAGAATGGAGGAGTAGAGGAGTGGAAGAGTGGAGGAGTAGAGGAGTGGAAGAATGAAGGAGTAGAGGAGTGGAAGAGTGGAGGAGTAGAGGAGTGGAAGAATGAAGGAGTAGAGGAGTGGAAGAGTAGAGGAGTGGAGGAGTAGAGGAGTGGAAGAATGGAGGAGTAGAGGTGATCAGAGCAAACATGAAAGCAGTTCATCTGAAAATCACTTTAACTTTTAGAATATTTTACAGTGTTTTCAGTGCATTTTGCTCTGAATGTAGAAGAACATTTTATAAACCTTATTTAGAGACTCTTTCATTAACACTCTTCTTTTGTTGTACAGGAAAGACTCATAACAATAAACAGAGTGCATGGGCCTCCATGGGTCAGTAAGGGTCAGTGCATGTATTTGCGTCTCTATGAGCAAATACAGCACTGTAAGAAAGTCTTAGGCACATAATTTGCTTGAAATCTTGGTGAGAAGTGTGTTTCTGCTGGTAGCATCTCCACCTAATGTTAGAATAAATACTAACAAACACCGAAACGGTAAAAAGTAACTACAGTGTTGGATGGTAACTATGCGGGCTTCCTCGAGGAGAGGTCTGGAAATGGTCAAATGAATACATGGACATACAGTAACTCATTACGTACTGAGTCAATGTCATTTGTATTTATAGCAATATTTGTGCTTTTCTGAGCCAATAAACGCTGACTGCTCAATTATAGAGCTTTTTAGATAGAACTTCCTCAGCGGACAAACTTTTACACAGTACTGTATATGGATTTCTATGTGTGTGTGTGTGTGTGTGTGTGTGTGTGTGTGTGTGTGTAAAAGTGGTCGTCTGATGGTTGAATGCGTGACTGCTCTTTGCTGTAATGAATGAGCAGTCAGTGGACCACAACAGCTACACTCACATGCATGCACACAGACACACACACACACACACACACACACACACACACACACACACACACACACATACATGCACAGGCTTATGTGGCACAAAAGATTCTATGTCTGAACATCAAATAACTCTTTAATACATACTGTTAATAATACATACAGGAGAACTTGGTTGGCACAGGGATATATATATATATATATATATGTACCTGTGACATACCTACCATTATTATATATCAGCACTTTCGTTATATAATGCATATATAACATAACGTATATAGTCAATAAAATCTGATGTATATATATATATATATATATATATGTGTGTGAGTGTGTGTGTGTGTGTGTGTGTGTGTATATAATATTATATATATATATATATGTGTATAATCTGAGACATATTATTACTACTTAATACATAAGGGACGTTATTAGTAAGTACAGATACATATACAATTATCTGCATAATAACACATATATTATTATTATTACTACTACTACTATTATTATTACTATATTCAATACATATGGGATATATACACACATACCTGGGACATACTATTACTATATAAAGGCTATATATATTTATATTACAATATAAAATATATACAGGATTATGTGTCTGTGTCCTGACAAGGTATTAAAAAATGTGTGTGTGTGTGTGTGTGTGTGTGTGTGCAGACAGCAGTCCGAAAGCTGTGTTTTTGGTCCTATAGAAGCCGTCGCTGATTAAAGGACAAGGAAAGAAAGGAAACAGAGAGAAACACTTCCAGCAGCAGATAATGGAGCGATGGACAGCTGTTTAAGACAATAGAGCTGTAACCTGCTCACTGGGAGTATTAAAGTAACAAAGAGCTGAAGAGAATCAGCCTCAGGGAGGGAATGGATACCATATCACACACACACACACATACACACACACACACACACACACACACAGGCCTGTCTGTTTCTCAGTAGGACGTCCGGCTCTAAAAGCACTGCAAATGATTTGCTGCTGTGAGTGTCCTGGTTTGCCTTGAAATGTTGAGTTCACTGATAATAAGTGACTCCAACCCAAATCCCAGACTATAATGATCTATGATTAGAACGGTGGAGTTTAAGCTGATGTAAGCAGAAAAGCTCTGATACAAAAAGAAACATCATGGCTTTTATAACAGCAGCTGTTAACTTTCATGTAGGTTAGTGTGAGGAGATTTTGGACCGTTTCTGTAGAACAATAATCTTCCCGTGAACATTCCGAGAATCATTTTGCGATTTGAAATTAACACGTCATTCATTTTTTTTTACAATGTAGAAGATGTAATGACTAAAATCAGAAAAAGGACAGTGACTGGACGCTTAGACGGAGGCAGCTGAGGAGAATGGTGACGTGAAAAAAATTATCATTACTTTTACATCATGAATAACTTATTATTTATGTTTTTTTTTCTCTTACCATGCTATAATGAAGGGTGTCTGTGTTCTATACCCTGTATTCTCTTTATTTATTGTAGAAATATCCTTTTGTTAACAGAAAATGATGAAGTTTAGTACAAAATGTCTGTTTATTTGCTGACATATACATGTTGGAACTAAAACATTAAATATAAAATGAGCCATAACTTTTGCACAGGCCACATTTATGTTTTATTTTTTGCCCCAATAATTTTAATTCGGCAGGTAAACAGTATTGCACCCAGACTTTAGCATACAGCAGTGTGTGTGTATTTGTGTGCGTACTCACACACATGCACACACACACACACATTCACATGTATGTATATATATATATACATACATATATATTGCTGTTGGAAGAAGAAAACCTTGTATCTCCAAAATGGTAGCTTTGCAGGAGAAGGAAAAACCACCTTTTTAATGTAAGTCAATTGAACCAGACTTTTTTTCCCAGGTCATTTTGGGTCGTTTCTTTTAGTCCATTCATCATGAAATTTACACACAGTGTAAAGAGCAACAGGCATTTTCAAACTATGTCAAAAACTGAAAAACGGCAAAAATGGGGATACGAGGTTTTGTTCCGACAGCAGCGATATATACATTTAAACTTATTTCATATGTAAATATTCACTTGCATTTAAGCATACAATTGTAATAGTGTTTATACTGCTGTCAGAACAAACCTTGTATCTCCAAAATAATAACTTCACAGAAGAAGGAAAAAACATACTATACTTTTAATGTAAGTCAATGGAACCAGAATGTTTTCCAAGTAATTATGAAATTTACACACAATGTAACGGGCAACAGGCAAAAATGGAGATACAAGGTTTATACATTTCAACTGAAACATGAAATCATGTCCCATATATATATATTTATTTTTAAGCATCTATACCTATATTTACTAATAATATATATGTGTGTGTGTGTGTGTGTGTGTGTGTGTGTATAAAAGTTACTGCTCAGGTGAGCTGAGGGCAAAACAGTCGTGCATTTAACTCTAGATGTACATATTGATATTGATGGCTGAATTGGTGTTGTGAATGTGCTGCAGAGTGTCAGGCAGCATTAACCCATTTGTCCTACAGCTCTGAACACGCACTCAGCCAGAGACGAGTCCGTGGGGGCCGTCTATAGTGACACCGCACTCATGTTCAGCCATATGGTGTTTGTCAGTGGGTGAAGGGCCGAGGGTGTGTTAGGAGAGTGTGATATTGGATCGTTCAGCATGACGGCGCTGTCCATTAGAAAAGATACAACACTATTAGCTTTACGGAGAGACAGCGCTGGAGTGAATGAGCCGAATAAACCAACACACACACTGAGGGTGAGTGGGGGTGGTTTATTGTGGTCCAGTGGCAGCCTTGCTGTAATTAACACACTGTAATTGATTGTAAGCACACACTTGTGATGTCTCTTGTTAATTGTTTCTCAGGTCCATATATAACATTAGCATTAACTTAATCAGGCACTGTGTCCAGAAGTTTGTGGACACCTGCTGACCTAGTGTTTCTTCTGAAAAGAAGGGTTTAAATAGGGAGTTTGTCCCTCTTTGCTGAAGTAACAGCCTCTACTCTTCTGGGAAGGCTTTACACTAGATGTTGAACATTGCTGTGAGGATTTGATTGACCATTAGTAAGGTCAGGTACTGATGCTGGATGGTCAGTTCTAGATCACTCCAGCACATCCCAAAGGTACTGGATGGAGCTCTGCTTCACAGCCAATGCTGGGGGACTTTATACCCCTCTAACCAACGCTTGGCATTGGACATGGTGAGACTGCTCCAGAGCATCCCACTGTGTGGTCAGTGCTCTTCTATGGAGAGTCCATTCTGTATAACAAACTCACTTTGTGGGCCTTCTTCTGGCTTTCTGTCCAAGTACTTTTTTGCCATGGAGATGGTAGCTAGTTGTAGTTGTAGTTCTAAAATGCTACCTCCTTCTCCATGACCTTAGTAGAACATTTTGCCATTTCCTCACTGTGTGGAATAAAAATAAACATACATCCTCCTCCAGGCCGGTTCACTACGGCTCCAGTTGTTTTAAACATCCTAATTACTGCCCTAACTGTGGTCATTTTCAGGCATGTATCTATTTTTTAAAAGCCACTGTCTGATTTATGAAGGTCAACATACTTTTATCTCATTTTACTATTGTTCAATGATCTTCCCTAAATTGACCAACGAGGGAATTTAACCTCGGTGGTACCCTGAACAATCATGCAGCAGTTAAACTTAAGACATTTCTGAGAAGATTAGATATGAGAGAATCCACTTGCATAAGGAAAGAGAAGGTTAAAGAAAAAAAACTAGCTCCAGAGAAATTGAGACTTCTAACAACCACCTGGAAGACCTGGTAGACCCCAAAACTGCCCCATCAGAAAAAAACAGCACTTAAAGCTTTCATCTTTGAGAGAGAGAAGAAAATCAAGCTGCTTCAGATCTGAAAACATCCACAGGTGTTTCTGTCCATCCTTCCACTGTGAGAAGACGACTCAGCGCTATGGGTCTGAAAGGATGTGTAGCTGATCAAGAAGAACCTCACTGAGAAAAGGAGACGGACACATCAAACAAAGAAGCTGAACGATGGACTGACCACCCCAGAGTCCAGACCTCAACATCACTGAATGTGTTTGAGTACTTCAGAAAATGATCAACCAGCTTCTAAGACTGAACTTTGGAGGTGTGTCTGCAGATTCTTTGAGGAACTGAAAAGAATTGAAACTGTATATATATGTATATATATGAAGATTAAATTAATGGAGGGGGGGTCTCTGACTTTTGCACAGTACTGTAGCATGTAAACCCAAATGAAAAGCAGCTCTATTGCAGCTCCGACAATAATCAGCAGGAAAAAGAGCAGAAACAGAGGGGCTTTGGGCTCAGAGCTGTGTGGAAGCCTTTAGTTAATATTTCATAGGCAGAGATAGAGAGAGCCTCTAAACTTTCATTAAGCAGCAGCCGTTTGGCTGGGAGGGAATCTCACTCTTTTATTGCAGTAATGCTGATGGCTCTCTCCCTCTCTCTCTCTCCCTCTCTCTCTCCCTCCATTCCTCCTCCTCTTCCTCCCCCATCCTCCTCTTCTCTCTCTCCGTCTCTCCCGCTTTAAAATTTCGTAATAAAATCGTACTCGATCCTTTTTTAAATGCACTATTACTTATCGTGGCCTTTTCATATTGCAGCATGGAGGAAGTTGAGCGCGCGCTCTAAAAGCGCCTCATTCATTATTCACCACCAGCAGCTGCAGCAATAGCAGCAGCAGCGCGGCTGCCTTTATTTTCTATTTTTTACTTTATTTTTTATGATTTTTTTTCTTCGTAGATTTTGCATATGCTCTAAAGCGCAGGATTGATGAGCGCGGGAGCGCGCGCAATAATAACCCAGCGCCCCCGGGAGCGCGCACACGATCAGCTTAATTACTGCAGCGATTTTTAGCTGCTGCCTGATGGAGGGACTTTCATTCAGCTCTTATCTTTTTTTTGTTTAAGTGGAGACAAAGATGATGAAGACAAATAAGACCTACATAATACATTCATAAATGCGTTATTCTGGTTTTCCAAACAAGTTTTTTTTTCTTAATTCGCCTAAGTGTGTCGTTAATTGATATGCTAATTTCGAAACAGTAGATCTGGACCTTTAAAAATGCTTAATTAAACATTCTGCTGTGATATTTATGTAATTACAGATTTCAGTGTTGCCGCATGGCAACAACAATGACAAACTAATAATAATAATAATTAAAAAATGAGAATAACACCATCGATAGTAACAGTAACATCAAGAGTACCAGAGACAACAACAAAACAACAACAAAAGTAACGATAACCAAAAACAAATCATCACAGTACCCATGATAATAATAATAACAATAACAATAATAATAATAATAATAATAATAATAATACAGAGTCGTAAGAGGTCACACCTACTTAAATTTAACAGATATAGGACATGTTGTCATTTTACATATATATATATATATATATATATATATATATATATATATATTATTCCATGTAGGTACTTACATGTATATAATACATCTATCTATCTATCATCTATCTATCTATATATATATATTATAATGATAAAAAAAATGATAAAAGGGCTTTTAAAACACTTCAGAATGCTGAATTAGCGCTAAGTTGTGTGACGTCACTCTTACCACTGGTTCCGCAAGGGTTCATTGATAAAGGCTATATATATATATATATATATACACATATATATGTTAACCTCCATTTAAGCATACAATTGCAATAGTGTTTCTCATATATATATATACGTCAATATGCTCATTATATGTTTCAAGTTTTATAGTTTTATACGTTTCATAAATGTACAGGTTCTTGTCTTGTAGCGTAAAGAAATTGCGCCAAACATTAGTCAAAGTGCGTAAAGAGAACTCACTGGTGATGAAAAGAGCATCAGAGTAGTGGCTGCTGCTGGGACACTCACTCTGGGGTGAAGTCTTCAGCCCTGTCCCGGGGGACCGGGGGGCTGGAGGGGTAGGGGGGTGCTTTTTAGCATCAGCACACTCGCTAATGGTCTATTAAACTATCCACTGCTGGAGAGTAAACGGATTTGGTGCTCGGCCCCTGAAGCTAATCAAACACGGCGGCTACAGGCCAGAGCAGCGCACGCGCTTTTACGCGGCGGATTACAAGGAGCCACTTTAGATCAGCTGCCCCGGCGCTGCTGATTAAATAAGCGCGTGACAGCGTGCCTCCATATCGCTGCGTTTTTTTTTTTTGCGCATTTCTGTTTCCTCCACAGCGCAACTTGCGCCCTTCTATTTTGTTCCATTGTGCTGAGCTTTGATTTGCGCGTTTTGTGCTCTCCGCGAAGCATTCTGCGCATTTCTGTTTTAGTGCAATTTTCGCGCCTGCATGTTCTCTTGTGCACTGTGCGCTCTTCTGTTCTCCCTTAGCGTACTTTGCGCAATGTTGTGTTTTCTATAGCGCCAAAAAGGCACATTTTCCAAATTGTGCGCTCTCCACGGCGCTTTTTGCGTATTTCCGCACAACATGACGAGCTTTTCCTTGTCTGATGGTTTAAGGCTTATTAGTCACATAAATAGCCAAAAATGAAGTAAAAATATCTTGAATAAATGCGCAGCAGATTCATTGACATCTTGCGAGACGACGCAGTTAAAACTAATTAGAAATTAGTTCCTAGAAAGACTTTCCTAGAACGCACAATGTATTTATAATCAAAAGACTGAAATGACACATATATATGTGATCTACCACAATAGGTGTACCTGTATTATTATTATGATTATTATTATTATTATTATTATTATTATTATTATTATTGGGCGCAGCATATGCGCTATCAACAGTCATTAATTAGAAGTGCATTATTAAGGACGTCTCAGCAGCAGCACGGCCCTCAGCCAGCAGCAATCAATAAATGCAGCATTAATCTAGATCTCCTTCAGCCAATAAAGCGCAGTGCTCAGTGCGCAGTGAGCGGCACTGGGGCAAAAGCACCAATTTCCTGCCGCTTCAGGCCACAGCAGGCCCGGATGACGGAGCTGCTTTTAATCCGCAGCTCGAGTTTCTCACCCAGGATCGATGGCCAAAATATGAAGCTCATCAAATTAGAGTCTCCTCAAAGAGGCTCGCGCTCATCTGATTAGTCTAAACGGTGGGAGAACACCAGGACGTGCGCGCACGCGCGCCCACGCTGCCCATTTCGTATTCCATAAACAAGCAACAATAAAACGTGATATAAAAGCCTCTCCGGTGTTTTAGTGCCATCCGAGGTCACGTGACAGTGGGGAAAAGTATAAAAGAGCTTTTAAAACACTTCTGAACGCTGAATTAGCGCTAAGTTGTGTGACGTCACCCTTAAGAGTGGTTCCTCAAGGGTTCTTTGGAAAAGGCAATTCGAAGAAACCATCGGAATACATATGTGGTTCTAGGCAGGGTTCAACGGTTCTGGAAAACTAGTTCTACATAGCACCAAAAAGGTTCTGCTATTATTAGTCAAATAAATAAATAAACAGGGCACCACATAGCTATTTCTACTACACGAAGATGGTTCTTCAAAGGTTCTTTAGTAAAGGCAATGGTTCCATTTAGAACCATGAGGTCTATATAGAACCATTTCATGCTTAAATGGTTCTTTACATGGTGAAATGATTCTTACAACAACATTAATATTTTATAACAATAGAAGAGCCCTTTTTGGTTCTATTTTACCATGCAAAGAACCATTCAAGCATGCAAATGGTTCTGTATGGAACTCGTGGTTCTAAATAAAACCACTGCTTTTATAAAGAACCTTTGAAGAACCATTTAATCATGCAAAAAGTTCTACATGGAACTACTGGCTCTAAATAGAACCACTGCCTTTACTACGGAACCCTTGAAGAATCATCAGTGTACTACCACTGCTACTACTACTACACTCTTTAAAATAAGGTTCTTCAAAGGTTCTTTAGTAAAGACAATGGTTCTATTTAGAACCATGAGTGAGTTCTTTATAGAACAATTTCGTACTTTAATGGTTCTGAAATGGTTCTTCAGGTGGATGGAGAATATGCTGTGTATGGTTCCATATTGAATCTTTTTGAGTTCTATATAGCACCAAAAAGGGTTCTGCTGTTGTTACGTCAAGCTTGTAATAACAGAAAACTTTTTTTTGGTGCGATATAGAACAGTTCTCCTTTTTGAAGAACTATTTTAGCATGCAAAGAACCATTAAGCATCTTTATAAAACTCATGGTTCTAAATAGAACAACTACCGTGACAAAAGAACCCTTGAAGAACCATCTTTTTTTAAAAGTGTACTACCACTGCTACTACTATTACACTCCAAAAAAATTGTTCTTCAAGGGTTCTTTACTAAAGACAATGGTTCTATTTAGAACCATGAATTCTTTATAGAACTATTTCATGCTTAAATGGTTCTTTGCATGGTGAATGGTTCTTCAGACTGATGAAGGATGTGTTGTATATTGTTCTACATAGAATCGTTTTGAGTTAGCACCAAAAAGGGTTCTGCTGTTGTTAAGATGTCAAGCTTGTAATAATAGAAGAACCGTTTTCCAACAATCTGAAGAACTATTTCACCCTGCAAAGAACCATTAAGCATGCAAATTGTTCTATATGGAACTAATACTCTATTACTACTACTAATAATAATAATAATAATGATTATGATGATGATAATAATAATAATAACACAATAATAACTGGTGTTTCTTATTTGTCCGAGAGCTGTAGGTGGTCAGTTTTCCTCAGGAGCAGTTAAGGAGTCCTGCTGGATAAAAACTGGTTTCAGTTCTTTCTTCTCATTAAGAAAACACCGAGCACGCGCTCACCCCGCGCTGTCAGCCCGTGCTTGTCTGAGGGTCATCCTAACGGACGGATCTCAGAGAGAAGCCCTGCGAGACCAGAAGAAAGAAGGAAGCAGGAGCGCTGTTTGGGACTGGGGGGTGACGTCATCCGGGCATTTAAGCCAATGGGGAGAGGAGAGGCCAGAAAGTGACCAATGAAAACAGGAAAGAGCGCGAGGAGAGCTCGTGCAGGGGGTTCTGCGCGCTGAGAGGACGCCAAAACTTTTCCAGCCGCTGACCAACGCGCCCCAGCAGATCCGATGCTGAAGACCAGAAGATCCGAGAAGATCATTTAAGCTGGATTTTTTAAATAGATTTTCTACTCAGCAGCGTCTGAGTGGTGCGGTTCCTCCTCTGCAGACCGTCTTTGTTGGTGGAATGAGCTCCAAACGGCGCTGGTGAGATTCTGGATTTCTCTGAAACTGCGCTCGCGACCATAACGCTGTAAATAAGAAAAGCGCGCTGAGTCGAATTCGCGCCATGGAGCAAGCCTCAAGCTCCAGCCCGAGCGGCACCGGCCACACTCCCCATCCCACCCAGCACGAGCCCATCAGCTTCGGCATCGACCAGATCCTCAGCGGAACTGACCAGGATTCTCAGCAGAACTCCTCGAAGGCCAGCTCGGACTCTGAGCGGGTCAGCGAGGGCGGCTACCCGCTGGGCAGCCCGACCGGGGCCAGCGCGACCCCGTACCCAGCGGTGACCGGTGCTTTCCATGGCATCGCAGCTCCGTATGAGGAGGCCAGGCCATACGGGGTCAACCTAACCCTCACCCCTGGTGGGGTCATAAGGGTCCCGGCCCACCGGCCACTGGCCGCTGCTGTCCCACCGCCTTTGGCCAGCGCGGCGCCCGGTCTGGGGGGCATCGGCTTCCCCTGGATGGAGAGCAGCCAGCGCTTCGCCAAGGACCGGTTTGCAGGTAAATAACATCGTTGATTTTCGGTTCAGTTCAATCGAGCGCCCACAGGGCGCGCGCATTTTATGGAATAAATAAAATAAGAAGATTTATAGATGCATAAAACGTGCAATTGTGACAAATAAAATGGGATCCATACATGAGCATCATATTTCTGCCTATAGCTGCATATCTATACATTTATTTAGAAAAGGTATTATTACTCTTATTTTTAAACAAATTAAAAGTCCACTAATGTTGCGTTTAAGCATCTCTACATAGAATTCATATTTAGACAATATCATTAGTTTTCCAAGCCAAGTCCACTACATTCTACGGGCTTTATGGGAAATAAGTTAATGAAGGACAATAAAGACTTTGAACAAAACTTCCAAAAATTACAAACACAATGAAAGTAAATATTAATATTTAAAAGATATTGACATTTAAATTTTATGTGTATATATACATAATTGTTAAATGCTTCATTTACAAGTAGACTATTAATTTAACTAAACTGAGATTTAAAACCTTATTAAATTCAAATTTCGTTTTCTATTAGAGATTAAATACCAAAAGAAAATCCTACGAAAAAATCCCACTAACCACCAAAAAAAGCAAAATAAATTCCCAATATAATAATAAATACACAAAATATAATAATAATAATAATAATAATAATAATAATAATAATAATAATAATAATAAACTGTAGTGTTCAACCTGCACTGTCAGACAAAAAGGTAGTAAACTGTCACTGGGGTGGTTCCTCCAGGCTCCATCTCAGTACCTTTAGTCAGGGAACATAACTGAACCATAATCCACTGAAATGATATGTTCTAAGCTGTACTGACTCCACACACCCCGTCTCGTCTCCAGGCTTTTATTTTACTGTTCTGTTTAAAACATTCGGTTATGAAAAGGTACAAATACGAACTTTTCACCTGGAAAAACATATTTAAGGTTCACAATCAGACCTTAGAACCACTGTTGTACCTTTGAGGGAACATTTACGTTGTTTGTACCTTGATGAACAAAATATGTACCTGAACAGAACCTTTATTTCTAAGAGTGTAGGATGAATGCAATGCATCCAAAACCCAACAGCGCAGAACCTGTAAATTAATGGCCGGTTTAAAATGTTAAGTCCATTAAAACTCACTGAAAACAAAGAAGAACAACAGAGCCAGATTACAACAAAGCCAGTAAACTAGATGAAGGAATCTGAGCTGTAAAAGATGAAGAGAGAGGAGAACACAGTCATTTTTAATGGTGAACTGATTTGGCTTCAGTGACGCTGTTTTCGCGTAATTTTTGAATTGGCGCTAAAAAAGGAGCGAATCGCAATTTATTTTTCAAAATCTACACAATAAAAAAAATCTGTTCTACAAAGGCCATCAAACCCCGATCATACATCATATAAAAGAACATTCATTTCGCTCGTACTCTCTGAGGCACGTGCTCCATCACGGAGGCTGATGGCAGGCTGTAGCTCTGAGCTTTATTAAAGCCTGTAAAAACGGGCTGATTGATAAAGAATTCAAACGCTGTCTTCTTTAGAAAGGCCAATCTCAGCGCTCTGCTCTTATAAAGAGATATCAATATTTCAGCAGGGTTATTTATGGATGCCTATAGGCGCTCTCCACACTTTAAGAGAAGGGAGAGAGAGAGAGAGAGAGAGAGAGAGAGAGAGAGGGAGAGAGAGAAAGAGGCCCAGAATGACTAATAAATACAACAGAAATACACCGAATGTCCAAAATGACATCACGCGCAGCTCTGACTTTAGAGGTTTGTGTAATTTAATAGAGGGGGGTCATTTTTCATGGTAGAGCTCATTAGCTTACAGCTGAATGAATAAATGAATATATTCAGGTCCTACATGAAAATCAGTAGATAACCTTGTGACAAAAATTTAGCCCGTGCTTGTACATTCTGCACATTCTTGGTTAAAAAATAAAAATAAAAAATACTATAAAATATCATAAATAAATGCAATATATTCACAGTAGCAAATAAATATAGAAAGAGATGGTGGCAAAACAACTACCGAAACAGTTGTCTATAAAAAGATTTCAAGAAAAAAATAGAAAAAAGAAACCCGAAAAAAAAGAAAAATGACCGCATTTCTTTAAAAAATTGCGTCTAAACTTTTAAACAATACCTCAACGCAGCACCTGCCCGCTAAAGTGCGTTTTAATGCCACGTTTTCACTACTACAGCTTCATCAGAGCGTCTAGTTTCACTTTACGAATTATGTGAATTATTTCTCCTGTGAAGAGATTTTTAGATTTACGTTTTTTTTTTCAAAATTGTGAACAAAGCCTCAACATCACCAAAGACGATATATTTACTAAATAAACTAAATAATGCATGTTATCCTATAAAATAGTCACTTGTACCGAGACAGATTAACAGCACAACCTGCATTATGATCTCTACAGAAATTACAGATTATGATCTCTAAAGAAATTGAAATTCTTAAATAAGAAGAATCTATTAAACTTTTAACCTTTTAAACCAAACCTTGTCCACTCAGTGAGCCACCACCAAGAGCGATAACTGTACTATCCTGGCCCTTTCAGTGCCCTCATCACCATCTAAAACACTGTAAGAGATGATCTGAGAGATTAGCAACCTCCAAAAAAAATTAATTGTGGTCTCGGCAAAAATCTGTTTCTTAAAGAATGAATAGATTTTAAATCAAACCTTGTCCACTCAGTGTGCCATCACCAAGAGCAAGAAATGTAGCAACTCATGCCACCCTATGCCCTCCCCCAAGACATCATATAAAAAATGAAGCAGATGAGCAGTCTGGAAAAAAAAATCTGAACACTGCTGCAAAATTTGTGGTTTCTTAAAAATTCTTAAAAATATTGTATTTAATTGCTTTTAAGCTTTTAAACAAAGGCTTCTGTGCCAAAACCAAGGCCAAAACATGCACAGACTAACACCACCATCACCATCTATAAAACACTAAAACAGATTAGCTGTCTGCAAATTTTTGATTTTGAAATTAATGTTGGAAATTTTGGTTAATTTTAATTTTGAAATTCCTCCAATAAGAACAATTTCTTGAAGAATTAATTTTATTTCTGAGTTTACCGAAGTGTACATTTTTGGCCTACCAAAAAAATCCCACCTCCTCACCCAGTAAAAGGACAAACATTAATATTTTAAAATATTTACTACATATAACCTCAAACAGCAAATTCTTATTTTCATTCCAAAATTGCATTTTTTAAATTTTTTGATAACAAAGTAGAGTGTAGTGTTATACATCACCTACTTTATTTGCATTTTTATTTGAATATTTTTTTGTCTTTTTGGCCCCCAAGACAAAAAGTTTTGGCACTCCAAATTCCACTTTAGCCTTGTCCACTCAGTGTGCAGCCAGCAAATGCAATACATGTGCCAACTAATGGTAACTTAACCCTTTCTCTTATTTCCCTCTATGACCCCCTGCTGCCCCCTTCCAGCGGCCCTGGCGCCCTTCACTGTGGCCAGGCGCATTGGTCACCCCTACCAGAACCGCACGCCCCCCAAGAGGAAGAAGCCCCGCACGTCCTTCTCCCGCGTGCAGATCTGCGAGCTGGAGAAACGCTTCCACCGGCAGAAGTACCTGGCCAGTGCAGAGCGGGCAGCACTTGCTAAAACCCTGAAGATGACGGATGCGCAGGTCAAAACCTGGTTCCAGAACCGCAGGACCAAATGGAGGTGAGAGAGAGACACTTAGCTGGAGCCGGTGTGGCGGATCATGGCTGGAACTGAAATTCTGCATGGAGTGAGGTTTACTGTAAACATGAATTATTAGAATTATTATTAACATCTTCCCATTTTGTCAACTTTAGTTTTCAGCAAATACAATAACGTCCTCTTGAGTTAGACGCAGAAAACAACATCTCCATAAACCCTAATCACTGTTTGACAGCACTTAAAAAAGATGGTTCTTCAGGTGTTCTTTAATAAACGGTTCTATGGTTCTATTTAGAACAATAAGTTCTACATCGAAGCATCTTGTGGTATGGTTGAAATGGTTGTTTGCGTGGTGAAATAGTTCTTCAGATTGATAGAGAATAATTACATATAGAACCTTTTGGAAAATGGTTTTATATAACAACAAAACGGGTTCTGCTTTTGTGACGACATCAAGCTTGTAACAAAAGAAGAACCCTGTTTGGAACCATTTTCAAAATGATTCTATACAGAACATCTACAGCACATTTTCCATCAATCTGAAGAACCATTTCACCATGCAAAGAACGCTTCAATCATGCAAATGCTTCTTTGAGTGTTCATGTTGTTTTTCTTTGCTAAAGAACCCTGAAGAACCATCTTTTTAAAGTGTATACGATATCAAGGTTTAAACAATGGTAGAACACTTTTTTGGTGCTATATAGAACCATGTTCAAAAAGGTTCTATATAGATCTACAGCACATTTTCCATCAATCTGAAGAACACTTTCACCATGCAAAGAACCCGTCAATCATGCAAATGCTTCTTTGAGTGTTCTTGTTGTTTTTCTTTGCTAAAGAACCCTGAAGAACCATCTTTTTAAAGTGTGTACGATATCAAAGTTTTAACAATAGTAGAACACTTTTTGGTGCTATATATTACCATGTTCAAAAAGGTTCTATGTAGAATATCTACAGCACATTCTCCATCAATTTCTTTACTAAAGAACCCTAGAAGAACCATCTTTTTTAACGTGTATGATATCAAGCTTGTACTAGAAGAACCATTTTTGGTGCTATATAGAACCATGTTCAAAAAGGGTATATATATAATTTATGAGTCTAAACAGAATTATTTATTAAGGAACCCTTGAAGAACCATCTTTTTCTGAGTGTGCATGTTTATGTAAGTTCAGCGTTTTGCAGATTTGCTGTTTAGTTTGAATATTTCAAAGTTAATTTCTTTTTACTAAATTAGAACCGAAGGTCTGCAGGTACAGAGAGTCCAACAGTTTGGTCATTGGCCTTCTGCGTTCCTGTCAGGTCAGAAAGTTTCAACTCGTAGATTTGCGGACACAAAACCTTCGTATCGAAGCACCGGTTACCGAGAAGAGGACGTGTTGCGGATTTATTAGCCATGAGTCTAATAAACGTGAGGCGTTTTCACTGATGTGCTATTGGTAAACAGTGAGCTGATATGAAGTCAAGTTTCAGTCTGACTTCACATCATTTCAGCTCTGGCCTGCATTCTTAAATAATACGGTTCTTAAAGGGAATGTTTCTGTAGTTCTATATAGAACCATGTGTATGCTTAAATGAATTTTGTTGTTACAAGCTTGACACTGTAACAGCACAAGAACCCTTTTTGGTGCTACACAGAACCATTTTCAAAAAGGTTCCATACACAACACATTCTCCATTAATATGAAGAACAATTTTGCCATGCAAAGAACACTTTAAGCATGAAAATGGTTCTATATAGAACTCATGATTCTAAACAGAACCACTCCTTTTACTAAAGAACCCTTGAAGAACCATCTTTTTAAAGAGCGTATAGCTCAATCAGCAAACACAGCAGAACCGCTCTGTTTAGCTGTTTGCCAGCACTTTCACGAGTTGCTAGTCACACCTAACATTACAGTGATGGCTGAATATGAGTTGAGTTCAGTTCCAAATTAGGTCATAATGTGAAGGTGAATCAGGTGCGTTTAAGAAGGAAAATCACTCTGACACTCCAGAACCAGAGTTGGGTTCTCTTGATATTTACATATAGATATTTACATGTTGATGCTATGAAGAGAAAAACACCTATTTTTGAAATTAATGATTTCTAGATAGGTAGGATCTAAAATAACCAACCAACCAACCAACCAACAAATAGATAGATAGATAGATAGATAGATAGATAGATAGATAGATGAATGAATAAATAAATAAATAAATAAATATATAAATAAATAAATAAATAAATGTGCTGTTAGGTTCGCCACTTCAAAGCTTGGTTAGGAATTTCATACTTCAGAATGTCAAAGTTTCAAAACATCATTTATTTATTATTATTTATTTATTTACTTACTATTTTGACTAAAAACAAGTAACAATTTTCATTGAACTCCTAATACTACACACTAAAAATATGGTTCTTTAAGCGTTCTTTAGTAAAGAAAATGGTTCTATATAGAACCTGAACACTCAAAGAACCCTGTACTATGATTTATGATTAAAGAGTTCTTTGCATCATGAACAGGTTCTTCAGATTGGTGGAGAATGTGTTGTAGATGGTTCTATATAAAATCTTTTTCAAAAAGACTATTTAGCACCAAAAAGGTTCCTCTGTTGTTATGATGTCAAGCTTGTAACAAAAGACTTCGCACTCTTTGGTACTAAAAAGAATCTTTTTCAAAAAGGTTCCGTATAGAACCATCTATAGCACGTTCTCCACCGATCTTAAGAATTTATGATGCGCTTTTATGATGCAAAAACTTTTTAATCTTGCAAAGGGTTCTTTGAGTGTTCATGGTTCTATATAGAACCATTTTCTTTACTAAAGAACCCTTGCAAAACCATTTTTTTAATGGTGCAGCCTAATTACCAGAACTAAAAGGCGTTTAAGCCACGGAGTAAAGTGACTCTCAAAATGTGTCTCATCATAAATAGTAATAACGTTATTAAGACTCATCAATAAGAGGCACGAGACGCACGTCTGACAACACCTGGCCCATTTAACAATATGAGCTGCTACATTTTCTACTAAATGTTCTGATTCTCTGAATTTTCTGTCTGCTGTGGTGAGAATGAACCCAGGTTGTGTCTTTAAAGACGACCGGCATCAGTTTTCAAAACACAATCGCTGATTTTTAAGATCAATTACGCTGCTGAGGTCAGTCCCGCTGAGATCCTGCTGGCACTGTAATGTATTTCTTACCACTGTAGCTGTAATTCAAGCTCAAGTCATAAACACTAAGAAGAAATGAGCAGTTATTGTTTACATTATCAGCCATGGAGTCTGAGTGGATTGAACCTCACCAATTAAAATAATTGGGTGACGCAATTTATTTCTAAATCTCTGGCAAAGGCAGCGTTTCCAGAGATGAGCTAAATTTTTGTACTGCAGCCCTGTTCACTAAAGACATCGTCAAAAAAGTAACCAGGCTTCACATTTTAACTTAAATTTGTATTTGTGAAATGTTCGGTTAACCTGTAATCAGAATTCAATAAACTCGGTATTTTAAATTTTAGGTTACTTTACAGTGCAGGACCAACACAAATGACACTGATATCAGGTTCTAATACAGTGCAACACATTAATGATTAGGCTTTGAACTCAGTTAGGCAGAACTGGAAGTGCTGATCTGTAATTTGTGAGTTTGTGAATTTTGGTGTGTAAAATGTAGAAATGTGAGCTTTTATTTGTTTACTTATTAATTCATTTTTTATCAGAGCTCTGTCTGAATAATTTACACATTGCTTGTGCAAAGAAGAATATGTAATGCAAAAATATGACATCCCAGTCATATCACATGTTCATTTTCTAAGTGAAAATAAGTCAACACACCCAGGAAAAAGAAAAAAAAGAAAAAATTACACATTTTAGTGCGGAATTTCTATTTATTTATTCTTTTTTTTTTTGATGAATCTGACATATTGGGAAATAATTATATTTTCAATATATTTCCCATATTTTTAAAAATACAACAGAGTATAAAATGTGGTATACATTTTGCACAGGCCATATTTTATATTTAATTTTTCCCCAATATGTTAAATTCACCAAATAAACAGTAACTGAGCATTAAAATATGTCAACTTAGTTTCACTTAGAAAATCAACAAAAAGTGTTGTTTGATGAGAGACGTTAAAACTTTTGCATACAACTGTATGTATTATTTTGTATTATTTTGAGAGTGGGACTGATTCTAGCAGCAATTTCTCTTTTAATGAATTTGACATGCTGGGAATTGAATATATATTTTTTAATATTTTTCATATATTTTTAAAAATGCAACTTACAACTTAATTTGAGCTGTATAAATTAAATTTCACATCACCAACATTATCTGTGGTTTTAATGTCTCTGTATGCGTTACTTGGAGAACCATTATGTTCTAGCTGTTACAAATGAAGTCAGACTAAAATCCCTGGCTCTCTGCTGTTCTCCTTCAATCTCCTCTCCACTCTCTCTGCCAGGCGACAGACGGCTGAGGAGCGGGAGGCGGAGCGCCAGCAGGCCAGCCGGCTGATGCTCCAGCTCCAGCACGACGCCCTGCAGAAGTCCCTGAGCGACTCGGTCCCTGCCGACCCCCTCTGCATCCACAACTCCTCGCTGTTTGCCCTGCAGAACCTGCAGCCGTGGGCGTGTGGCGACGAGGGCACCAAACTGGGTGCGGCACTCGTATGAGCTACCGACTCGGAGCAGCGGTCAGCAGCCTTCGTCCTGGAGGAGATCGGAACTTTTTGAAGATTTGTCTCCAACCCAAATCTCACATGCTACGATTTTAACAATAAAGGTGGCAAAAGAGCTTGCAGGAGCGATGCCATAGAAGAACCGCTTTGGGTTCCCTAAAGAAGTGGTTCTCAAACTTGTCCTCGGGGACCCTACAACTGTGCTCCAACCCAACTCGCAACCACAGAGATAGAGCAACAGTGTGGACCGTCTGGGAGTCCCTGAGGACCAGCTCGAGAACCACTGTCCTAAAGAACCTTTCAGTGGATGGTTCTTTAACGACGATGATTGGCATTAAAAGGATTAGGTCAGTGACTCCTAGACATCCCACAGTTTTACTTGATCCCATTTCACAATATATATAGAGCAAAAATGTGGACCATTTGGGGGTCCCCAGAACCACTGCTTTTGGTGGTTCTTTTGGTTCTTTTGTAAAAGAGATGGGCAATTATAAAGGAACCTCCGCATGATGTAAACATTAGATAACAGTACAAGACTCTTTCTAAAAGTCCAAGCCAAAAACCTTTCAGGAAATTTTCAAGAATTTGATCCAGCTAATCAAGAACTTCCAAAGACAATCGTCAGCTGGATAAAGGCCCAATCCCATTTTCTATTTGTACCCCTACTCCTTGTTTTCGAGTGTCTCTTTGCCCCTTGGAACTGAGTTATGAGGGGTCGTGGTTGAAATCTTTCCCTACAGAATAAGACCCTTAAATAAAGAGAGCATTACTTCATTAACAGCTACTGGCGCTGCTCTGTAGGCGACACTGCCAGTCTGCAGTGACAGCAGAGGAGGGTAAAGTTCAGCTCCTCACTGCTGGGCTTTAGTTACATTTAGGGACTCATATGCCTTCAAAGAGGGGGGCAATTATTTATTATCACCCACCCCTAATTCTTCAGTGATATCAGTCACTGAAGTCAGATATTCACCAGCTTCTTGTCTGAATTTTCCTGTTCCATGGGAAATTTAGCTAGCTAGCCACCGAAACATCAACAAACTACTACCGATTTTAATGCTTGTTATGAAGAAAAGGACCATAATACACTGAAACGACATTAAACTAAGATACAGCGCAGTTTTTAAACGGAGAAAATACTAACATTTGTGTTTTTGGTCACTTGTTCAGCCGTCGTGCTGGTTTTTCATTTTTCCCATAACACTCCGTTTGGAGTGTACGTCTGAAACCATCGTTTGGAGGGTCATGTAGCCCTAACACATCGCCCTCCCCCTCTACCCCTCAAAAAATAGGGACACTTTAGCTCTAGGCGTGAACGCTCAAAACGGAGAAATAGGGCTAAGTGTTAGGGGCAAGGGGTGAAATGGGATTGGGCCAAAGTGTGGAAGATTTGGGTTGGAGCTGAAACTCAGCAGGGCAGCAGATCTCCAGGAGAAGGGCTGGTGACCACTGGACTGGAATGAAGTACTGGCACTTCGATGGCCAGGCTGCCCAAAGTCAAGGACTCCAGCAGAAAAAAACAACGAGCGACTGATTTTGGCCAGCAAACAGCAAGACCCTCTGAAGAAGTGGACGTTTTCTGTATGAGCAGAATGAAAAAGGCCGACATAGGGATTATCCTTCTTGCTCCAGTTAAAATGACATGTTATAAATGACCCATGGAGTGCAGTAGGTCAGCCTGGCCCTCCGCTCCACGCTAACATATTGACAGACCGATGCATCACGTCTCTGCTACTGTGCCCATATGTCTCTCCATCTTTACCTCCATCTTGCACAGGACTAACGATGGAGAGACACATAACGGAGGATAAATTATTCAGAATGTCAGTTGCCTGACCTCTTATGGCCCTCTTCTGGGCATTTTGACCATTGGTGGAAAAGCTAACAGGCATATAAACACATATGAACACACAGATAGGCTAAGACACATAATCCACCCTGCACAGCACAGCTGATCAATCGCTAATCATTCTCGTTATTACAGTAATGCTTAGATTTTTGTAAAGTCAAGGGCTATTCTGCTATAACACACTAATTTTACTTTGGACACCAGTCCCAAAAGGGCCCATATTCTACAATTTTTATGTATTTTATTTTTTGTGTATGTTTTTATGTCATGGTTCATTATTACGTGATAATTGTTTTCAACCTCTGTTTATCCCTTAGAATTAAACAGGCCGTGCCTTTAAGTCTGACACATGTAAATGAGCTCTGCTCTGATTGGCCTTGTAGAGTATCCCATTCAAAGGCTGACAAAATCCTTATAACTTCAGTGTGAACAGGCCGAGCGAAATTGCTGTAGGCTGAAAACGGATATATGTAAATGAGTTTTCATGACATCACAGAAACAGACTGTTTTTACAGCTTAATTTCCAAATATGGACTGTATGGACTGGGATGTTTTTTTAAAGTTATGTATAATTAAGTGGTTCAGATGTAAACAGAGTCATTCAGAGGGGTTTAGTGTGAAATGGTTCAGATGTCTTTACAGTGGTGGTGATAGGAACCAGACGTCACCATGACTGCAACACAAGTTTTATATTGAATGTTGATGATGGAACATATTGATAAATCTGAAAAAATAAGTTTTCTTCTGGGACTATTTTGCCTCACAGCGCCCTGCATATTATGTATTCCTCCATCATGAAAGAATTTTAAGGCCAAAATCTTCTCAAAACTATCATAAAACAGTGTCTCAGTCATCAGGCAGTGAATTCATAACCATTTCATGTAGTAACTTTCTGTGAGGGACCTTTTAGAGGTGGACGTCTGGTTCCTATCACCACCACTGTGAACAATTCTGACTCAGTACGTTTCTCTAGAACGGAGCATTTCACACCAAACCACTCTGAAGAAAACTGTTTACATTACTAACTAATTAATTATGCAGAAACTTTGAAAAAATGGTGGAATTCCCTTTTAACAATGTTTATCGAAAGCTTTTATTTTATAAAATGGTGGAAATTTTGGTTTTCCATAAAATGGGCCCTTTAAGGTTTTAGGCTCATCATCTTTCCTTGACTAGAGAGATTATTTCAACACGAATCAGTGAGCGGGAAAGCACTGAACTCTTTTAAAAATGGTTGTACAGTGATGAAGGAGGGTAAAAATGTGTGATAAAAATGGTAATGAATAAAATGTCTGTAAATGTAATGAGATAGGAGCACAGTTGCATACAAATGAGTGTATTATATATTGTAATTCATATGTAAATAGCCAAAATGTAATTAAAAACTCCTTTTTGACTTTAACCTGAGTCGTCTGGGCTATTTTCTTTCTTCTTTTTTTTTGAATGCTTTAGTCCAAGGCTCTCAGTGAGCGATGAAGCCTATACGCAGTATCGCTGTTTGGCCGAAGATGATTATGCCTGCCACAGCAAAGAAGCACTTAGGTGCCTCGCTGAGATAAATGCAGGATCCTATGGGATCATAAACATGCCTTTATGCCCTCTACCACCCCTCCCAAACCCCCCCACCATCCTCCAAATGCTGACTCTCAGGAATTGACCCGCTTGAAAGAGCTGGGTGGGGGCAAATGGAGCAGTGTCCATTATAAAGTGATTTAACATAGCCCCCTCCCACCCCCCCCTGCATTAAAATACTTGGTAGGTGAGTCTGGAGTCCCGCCATAGAGCTCTTTGGACCGGCTATATGGATGTTTAACGCTGGCACGTGCCGGCTCCTCTTCGACATGCAGGAGGTGCTGCTTGATAAGGAGCTGAGTGAGTGCAGTCTGGGACGGCGGTCATTAATAAACACTCACTGACCTGACTAATCCACACAGGAAGTCCTCTGACCTGCTGGACCCCCTCCAGGCCCACTGGGATGATGAGATCATTCAGCGAGATGAATGGAGCATTAGTGCAATACTGTAGCACCCTCTGGTGGCTGAAGGTTGAAACAGAAAATGCACTTTTTTAGACAAAACATCTTTCCAGACAAAACAACACCATCAAACACCAAAACAACACCAAAAAGACATCAAAACATTACAATACAGTCCTACATTAATATTTCTGAGTTGCATTTTATGATAACAGCATAAACCCTCAAGCTAAAATATTACATTGAACCAACACAGGTCTTAATGTGCAGCACTGGATCTTAGATTATATAAATTATGCATGTAAAATAAGCTGACTTTCTCTCAGAGGTTGCCAGATTTTCAATGTCAGCATGGTTTCCAGTTTAAAACCACATAGAGAGAGATGCCCCTTAAGAACAACGTACTGTAAAATTACAATAGACTTTAGATCTGCTCGATGATGATGCATAGACCAGACCTCAGTTTGAGGAAATAAACTAGAGCAACATTTGGGTCGCATTTTATATCACAAAAATAAAAATACTAGCCTGTCACCATCGGGTAAAGATGCCCCCCTAACAGGGATAAGAAGACCCTCTGAGAAAATCCTTCATATCATCTGATTTTTACAGAATGTACGAATAAGGTCATTTAATTTCTAATCTTTGCATTTTTAACTTTCGTCAAAGTTATTTCTCCGATGTTCAACACTAAATACCATACTTTAAAGCTGCACTACGTAAAATGTATGGATTTGGAGGCCTCTCTGGTGGAAATGTGTAATTGCACACAATTGGATCTCTTCACTGAGAGGTTGAATCTGATGGTTGCCTTGAAAGAGTACACAAAGTTCAAATTAAGGGCCCTGACTAAGTGATGTCTTAATAATTACAGTTAATAATAATAATTTCTGACAAAAGACAAATCATAGTAAGACAGAAAGTCTACTTTGTAAAACTGAATGACAGTTTTCCTAATTATTTGCATTAAACTCATTTAAAACTAATACTAATAAATAATTACAGTGCAACTGATTGAAAAAGCAAAAGTATTTAAAGGCAATATGTATAAAAAGAACCTTTACCGCAAAGGTATTCATTTAAGTTTTCATTTCAAAAGACATAAAATATACTATATTCATATTTTTCCCCAAGTTAATCTACCTCAGATATGTCTGTGATCATTCCGGTCCACTTGGCTGAAGTTGTCTTCTTAGTCAAAGTTGCCATTCTACCTTAAATATTGTAGCAGTTACATTCTGCTGCCCTGTAACTGCAGCATCATTTAAGGTGGAACGGGGAAATCCAATAAGATGCCAGGTTCGACCATGCCAGGGGTCACAACCCAAATGTTAAGGAAAGCCATTTTGTTCTTTCAACAAAAAATTCAAACCACCTTGGGAGCCACAACATTTTATGTCAATTTCACCATCTTGGCTGTAAATATGTCTCAGTATGTGCTGATGTCCTAGTATAGGCTAAAAATATAATATAAACGAAAACACAAACTTACTTTGCTTTGCTTTAAGCTTTAGCTCAGCTATAGCTGCTTTTCTCGCATCTCCGGCAGGAAACTTTTCCTCAAAAGTGGAATATTTTCTTTTAAAATCTCTCTCGACGTTTGATTTCTCAGCTTGTCATTCCAGCTTCTTGTTCAAATGTCCTCACTCCACCTTAAATTGTGCCTGAGGCGCCAGAATGTAACCGCTGCACCATTTAAGGTGGAACGGGAGAATTCCAACAAGAAGCTGGAACTAGCTGACTTAAATTTCGTGAATTTTTTAATGTTTGACAGTTACTTGTTGCACATTAAACGTATCAGGAAACCAGCTGGGGTGCTTACAAATGCAAATAAGTCAATTAATCTCCAAATTATCAATGTTCGTAATAAATCTTTGTCTTTTCGTCAGCTACTAGTTAGCAGGGTCGGCAACCCAAATGTTAGGAAGAGCCCCTTTGTCCTTTCCACAAAAAATCAAACCCCCTCGGCAGCCACATTTTATGTCAATTTTACCATCTTGGCTGTAAATATGTCTCAGTATGTGCTGATGTGCTAGTATAGACTGAAAATATGATATAAACGAAAATGCAGACTTTGCTTTAAGCTTTAGCTCAGCTGTAGCTGCTTTTTTCATCTCTGGTTCGAACACTTTTCCGCAGAAATAGAAGTTTCTTGTAAACTGTCTCTCAACCTTCTAGTTTTTCCGAGTCTTAGGTTAGCTTCTCGTTCCACCTTAAATGTTGCCAGAGGTGCCAGAACGTAACTGCTGCGCCATTTAAGGTGGAACGGGAAGATTCGAACAAGGTGACTGAATTTTTGCGAATTTTTAGTGTTTGTCAGTTTCTTGCAGATTAAACGTATTAGGAAACCAGCCGAGTGCTTATAAACGCAAATAAATCCATTCATCTTCAAATTATCGACGTTCGTCTTAAATCTTGCTTTTTGCCGTTTCGTTAGCTACTAGCTAGGCGTTTGCCTGCGTTGCTATGGTGACCAGCTGTCTGCGCGCCAATCCTCAGGGTTAAAGGTTGAATTAGCATTTGTAGGCTACATTAACTCCAGCGTTTAAGACCATTTATTGTTTAAACTGTGACCAGCAGAGCTGTTTTTTTTACTGTAAAAGAAGGATTATTTTATTTTAACCTAAAAATCTAATTCTGTAGCAGAGCTGTAACAGGGCAGTACAAGAGCCGAAAAGCTGAGCCCTGGTCTATGCTGTAGTTGTGATGCTATTTACTTGTTTGTAACATCAGGCTATGATTATTACTTTCACCAGTGTGTTTTGCTGCCTCTGGAATATCACAGACCACAGACTGGACAGTTTGTGGCCAATTTTATAACGAATTCCGTGCAAGTTCTAAAACTTCAGAACAAACACAAAGATAATTCTAGTCTCTTACAGCAACATCAAACTCTATTAAACTCAAAATCATGTCAAAAGCCTATTCATAAGTCTATTTTGGATATTATTTTCACAGTGTTTGAGGCAGGTGTGAGATTTAGGCATGCTAATTTGTATAAACTTTCAAAATTAAAGTGTGGACAAACCTTGCATTTGGAGTTAAGGAAGAAATGGTGAAAATGGCTAAAACAGTGCTTTACGCAAAAAAATCAACAATTTTTCAGAATTCCTGCATAATACACTGATCAGGCATAACATTATGACCACCTCCTTGTTTCAACGCTCATTGTCCATTTTATCAGCTCCACTTACTATATAGGTGCATATGTTAGTGTGTGTTGCTCTGGTGCGAGTGGATCAGACACAGCAGTGCTGCTGGAGTTTTTGAACACTGTGTCCACTCACTGTCCACTCTATTAGACACTCCTACCTTGTAGATGTAAAGTCAGAGACGATAGCTCATCTGCTGGTGCACAGTTTGTGTTGGTTATCCTCTAGTCCTTCATCAGTGGTCACAGGACGCTGCTGGCTGGAAGACTATTCTCAGTCCAGCAGCGACACTGAGGTGTTTAAAACTCCAGCAGCACTGCTGTGTCGGATCCACTCATACCAGCACAACACACACTAACACACCACCACCACGTCAGTGTTACTGCAGTGCTGAGAATGATCCACCACCCAAATAGTACCTGCTCTGTGAGGGTCCATGGGGGTCCTGACCACTGAAGAACAGGGTAACGTATGCAGAGAAACAGATGGACTACAGTCTGTAACTGTAGAACTACAGAGTGCACCTATATAGTAAGTGGAGCTGATAAAATGGACGAGCGTAGAAACAAGGAGTCATAATGTTATGCCTGATCGATGTATATTAGAAGCAGAGTCATTGAGTGGTTTGGTGTGAAATGCTCCGTTCTAGAGTCAGAATTGTTCACAGTGGTGGTGATGGGCACCAGACGTCCAGCTCTAAAAGCTATTAACGTTATTACATAAAATGGTTATGAATTCACTGCCTGATGTCAGAGATATTGTTTTATAGTTTTAACAAGACTTTGGCCTTAAACTCCATTCATGGTGGAGGGATACATAATATGCAGGGAGTTGAAGCAAAATAAGCCTCAAAAAAACTTTCATATTTTCCACCATTTTACCATCTTCAACATCCCATATAAAACTCAAGACGTGTGTTTAGTACAGAAATCTGATCAATGAACCATTTCACACAAAACACAACTTCGCTTACATCTTGACTGAATTAAGCATGAATTTTGAAACATCACTGGAATTCCCCTTTAAGACCTGGGGGGGTTGGATTTAACAAGGTGACTAACTTAAGCCAAAAGTACACTGTTGTCCAATATGTACTTTTTTGCTCCAAGCCTGTTAATAGGCTTGTTTTCTTGGCCTAATTTACCGAGAAATCCCACTGTGTGAAACACCCAACACGCTGTAGAAAACAAGAGCAGCAGTATTTTCCCCAAAAACATTTATTCTTGCGCAGTAAAATGTAACTTTTCATTGCAAAAAGTACAGGACAGGTTGTATGCATATGTGGACAACTGTACTCCTGACAGGCCCAACAACGAACCAAACATACTTCATTCTCTGGTTATATTACTGCATATTCACTAACGCTGCCGAGTTTGGACTGTCATGCTTTTAAAACACATACAACCCTGAAATGTTCAGAGACCTCCATTTAACTGCACTATAAGAACATGTGCACACATGTGGATGAGGATATTCTGTCTTTGATGGTGCAGGACAGAAATTACATACAGCCTCAAAAGCACTGGAAACTGGCATGAATCAGAACTTAAATCAAAAAAGAGAAAAAGAAAGAAAAGAAATTAAAAAAAGGAAAAGGAGTACGTGCTCCCAAGCATCGCCACTCCCTCAGTGGCCACCCTGTTACTGATCTCGAACACGAGCAGGAAAAAGAGGACGAAGCGGAAACAGTTACAGTGAATGGATTTCAGAGCTCAGTCTGAGTAAAGTCACTTTTAAAGGAACTTTAAAAGGAATGGCACGGATTTAACAAACTCAAAAGGGACCGTAAAATAAAAGAAAAAAAAAAAGTGGAAATATAATTTAACAGAATAAAATGATTCAGTTCTTCTCCTTCACAGTCTGTCTCCACTTCCACAGCTCTTCAACTACCTGTTGAGGGGAAACAAAGAGATGAGATCTGTTATCCCAACAATGCGGTGCACCATGAGTGCTGCATTAGTTTCATATTTCAATGTCACTGATATCATATCCTTCACAAAAGAAGGCGAATACACCTTTCTAAGCGACAAGTATTGGAAATAATCCATGGGAAACAGTGCAAACAAGTGAATACCTTTGGATCGGTTACTTTGAAGCCGTTCTTCACGTAGTTCTCAAACTTGGGTTGAAGTTTTGGTAGCGACACTCCCTATAAAAAGACCAAAAGGCTATTTTAATACCTTTAAGCTCTATGCACTGCAACCCACCCAACCCAGTTCATAAGCAAACATCAGCTGGAGATCTGCTTGTAAAGGCTCGTAATGAGTGAGTGATGAGTATAAGCAAATATATTCACAACCTGAAGACAGCACACAGAAGAGAACTGGCCAAGAACCGAATCAGAGGCCGGCTTCAAAAGTGTCTTAAAAAAACCTTACGTGTGTTTTTGGTTCTTAACTTCATTCTTAAAAAAAAGTTACAAAAAATATTTATTCAAATAAAGCAAAACAAAAAATAAATCCCACACAAATACATGAATAAATAAAATAGGTTCTTATAAATAGACGGACTCTTGTGACCCTTCCTCTCCGTAAAAGTACATATTAAGTGTGACTAAAACGCAGTCACAGTGCAAACTGTGGTGCACGTGCGCTACTTCAGACTCACGAGCTCAGCAACACAATGAGGACTGCTGACTCCATTAATTACTTCTGTAATTAGCTAATTGCTGGGGCCATAATTTCTATGAATTGTAAATAGTATCTCACAGACATAACTACTTTTAATAACACTGGAGACTAGGTGAAGGTCTTTGTTTAAACTAGATGCTCTAAAAACAACTCATAACATCACAATAGATGTCCTTAATGTTTGTAATCGACACGGCTTCCATTAACACTGGGAAAACCACCATGATCGACAGAAGCTACAGAACCTGTTATTTAAAAAGGTGGTTGAAGCTTTAAACTCTATTCGATATTTAATCTGTTTAGAATTCATCTTTTCTTTGACTCGCTCGTTCCTCTACAGGCAAAACAAACAATAAAAGACAAACCTTTTCAACGCTGGCCATCATTTTGGCCTTAATCTCCGGGACGGTGAGAGGCGCCTGTGGGGTTTTGGGGGACTTCGGGCTTTTGGGTGTCTGTGGTTTCTTCTCATTCTTCTTGCCGGACTCTGGCGTCTTGTTCTGCCAAAATACAAAACGTTTAATAACTTTAATCTGACTGGAAGTTGAGACAAAAACCACACTGACATGGAGTTGTAGATACAGCAAAAATATTACACTTTCTCAGAGAATCGATCTCACAATGAAGCATAAAGGTTTGGTGAGTTGGAACAGAAACAAGAACCAGTAATGTCACTACTGGTTTAAAAGTATCACACTGCACTTAATCAACTTAAACATGCAGTTGGTCCAATTACTGATTATATCCACGATATGCATCTTATTATTTATTTTCTAATTCATTATGTACAGGAATGCCCAAAGTGTGGGCCACAGGCCAAATATGACCCACTAAAGTCATATGAATCTTATCGGAGGAAAATTTCTGCGCTACATTTTGAACTAGATTCAAATGCTTTATAAAGTATTTTAGAAAAAAAAATATATATTTTGTGCCTACTGTATACTGTTCAGTAATTTTGTCCCTCTTCTCGTCGCAAACAGCACTTTGGCCCCACAAGACCAAGTTTGGGCACCCTGGATTTGACGACTCCTGCTAATTAAGCTACGTTGCACAGGATTAAGCCCAGACGGCAATATGACTATTTCATTTTTTTGATTTTCATATTTTATGCGACATGCATTGTGGATATTTTCAATATATAAAGGACACTGACTGAACACATTTAAAAGAGCAGAATTAGTCCCGTTTTAGTTTAGTGCAGTACAGTATGTAAAATTAATTTTAAAAAACCCACTGTGAACAGTTATGATGGCAGTTTTAAAATGTGGCACTATTGGTGCATTGTATCAGTGTCAAAGTAACATAGTATTAATGCTGTATCGCTAATGGATCGACCATTTTCAACAAGATCCTTCATATTTCACATAAGTGCGTTTACAAGTACTGTTCTGCCATCACTATGGCAACAAAGACAATGATAGTCATGTTAACTGCAAAAGTCAGACAAAGAACAAACTGACGCTGCAATTTCTAATCAGAAAAGAGTGTGTTGAGTGTGAGAGACCAGTTATCCTATTCAGACTGCCAGCTCAAATCTGATCACATTTGGAAATGGTTTGAAATGTGATTCGGATCAAATTATTATAATGTTTTTTACGAGTCTCAGTCTGGATGCTCTGACCACTCAAACCGGATTGTGTCTGTCGTCACTCGCAATGTGACAAACGACGATATCAAATCCAGAGTGACAGAGGGGCTGGGACTCAAGAAGAGCACCAAAGATTTGCGCTTATGCCAGAGAATTTTGAAGAGTTTGGAGGGCGAGATGATGCACATCCATCTCTCCTGCATCTGTGTTTGAAATCTGCATCACCAGCATAGCGACACAGTTACTGATGCCACTAAATGCCTACGTTGTTACCACGGGAACCCATGCCGACAGACTGGGGATGTCTGGACACACAAATCTGATCTGAGCACTAGCAATTAACAGTGCAGACAGTCGTCCCAAAAGATCCGATTTAAAAAACAAATCTGATTGGCATGCAGTCCGAACACAGCCTTGGTGTTTAAATACAAGAGACCTGAGTAAAACGCCAACCTCATTTGGTGTAAAAGGGTTTTAAAACGGCAGGAAGAGTCTCACCTGTTTGGCGGCTGGTGTGTTGGGTTTGGGCCCTTTGCCATTCTGAGCTGGAGTCTGGGGTTTAGCTGCAGGCTTCTTGGCCTAAAAAGGAAACCAAGCACCATTTAACTTGAACTGTAAGCGCTATAAAATCAAACAGTTAGTCACACGTTAAAGCACATGCCATCACCTTCACAGGCGTCTCTTCAAGCTCTTCTTCCTCCTCGTCATCCCTGGAAAAGAGTTGGATTTAGGCCTTTTTGTTCACATTCAACAGAACCAAGATAAACAATACTCTCTCTAAAACTACACTTACTCATCATCATCCTCATCATCATCCTCGTCATCGTCATCCTCATCCTCCTCTTCCATCTTCATCTTTTTCTTTAGGGAATAAAACACCCAGTGAGTTGTTGCTTTTGTACACATTTATTGGATTTTTAATAAATAACATTTGGACTGAAGCAAAACTACACATGCTTAAAAACTCACTGAAGATTTTATGCTCACTGGAGCCGCCCTCTTCATGGCCGTCCTCAGTTCTTCCTCTTCCTCCTCTTCCTCTTCATCAAAAGACTCATCTCCTCCTGTGACTAAAAAACAGAAGGTTGAGATTTTAGTGGTAAACAGTGATACAAAATTTAAAAAATAATCAAAATTAAGCAATTCTATGAATCGAGTGAAGCACAGTTTTAGCCAAATTACATGTGACCCTCTAAATAACCCTTTAACAGAGCAATAAGAGATTTCACAAATCTTCACCAAACCTAATTGAAGGTCTGAATGCTCAAAATGTATACGTAAAGGTTAATATACAAAAGTCATTAACAGGGTCTGTCTTAAACCTTAACTTTAAGTGTTTTACATAAAAGATCTTTGATTTCTTTTAAAATTAAAAGTTTTAGATCATCAGTCTAAATAAGAATCAATAAACAGTTTTAAAACTTAGACGGAGCCTTATTTTAACCACACCCCGGCATTTTGTCCCTCATGGCAAAATGGTGAGCAGTTGGATCTTATTATTTTGAAGTAAATGTGTCCCAAAGTCTGGAAATCAGTGTGGAACATTGTCACTTAAAGTACTGCAGTTCAACACTTCAGCTTCTTATGATGCGTTTACAGCTGTTCAAAACCGTTTGCTAGTCGTGTTCCGGCTAGCTGACACTGTCGCTCCTGACACATCTGGTACAGTTTGAGTAGTGTAATAATTGTTTTTTGATAGTGACAAAATGGAAAGTTCATTTGTTTTGCTAAAATAAACATAATTAAGGTACAGGGTCACTCAGAGCAAAGAGGTTTTAGTCTAAAGTCCACGTTAAAAGACTGAAATGTGTTTTCATCTCTAATGTTGAACCAGTTTAGTACAATGAACCAAAGTATATAGAAAAGCAGGCAGAGAAAGTTGTACTGTCACAGGTACTCACTGACGAGGTGCTGCCCGCTGATGTGGACTGGACCAGCGCCGGACCGCAGCCGGAAAACAACAGGAGGGGCGATCTCAAACCCACCCAAACAGACCTGAGACAGGGAATCCATTCAGTTCAATACATGACGACACCAATTTCAACTATGTGACTTTACATTAATTTCAATTCTAGACATACAGCTCCTGTCAAAGGGCCCAAACCTATATTTTTGAATGTGTAGAAATTCAACTGCAAGCCAGCAGGCTAGCCCCGGAGCTCCTGTGCTAAACTAAAGGAACAAAACACATCTTGGCCAATTACGTCTGGGATAGGAAAAAAAAAAACTTTATTTTGATTCCTCCTGTAAAGGAGAATTCCACTGGTTTCACTAAATTCCCCCATAACTCAGTGTGTAACAGAGATTCAGAGTGGTTTGGTGTGAAATGGTTCAGATGTCTTTACAGTGGTGGTGATAGGAACCAGGGGTCACCATGACTACAACACAAATATAGACATTTTATTTATTATCCAGAACCACCAGTGAACCTACACGAGTCTTCTGAGTTTATATGGAATGTTGATGATGGGAAAAATAGTGGAAAATCTGAAATAATACGTTTTCTTTGGGGACTATTTTGCCTCACAGCGCCCTGCATATTATGTATTCCTCCACTATGAATGGATTTTAAGGCCAAAATCTTCTCAAAACTATCATAAAACAGTGTCTCAGTCATCAGGCAGTGAATTCATAACCATTTCATGTAGTAACTTTCTGTGGGGGAGCTTTTAGAGGTGGACATCTGGTTCCTATCAGCACCACTGTGAATCAATCTAAGTTTCTCTAGAACGGAGTGTTTCACACCAAACATTTAAATGGTTTAATTACGCATTAATTCTGAAAGATGTGTGGACTTCCCCTTTAACACGATCTAAAATACAGCAAAGGGAACACATCTAAACACTCACGCTGGGCAGGGTGGACGGCTTAAGCGTGGCCAGCACGGCTTTGACCTTCTGACCCTCTGAGTCCTGTCCCTCAACCTCCACGATGTTCAGCTCATCTTTCGTCGCTGGGTCGACACAAACCTGCAGTAAAGAGAACTTGTATTCAGCTCCGTCACGTCATCCAGGCTTTAAAACCTTAAAAAACTGGCTTGTGTTTGTTACATGATCCATGACATTAGTATAGAAATACAGAAGTGACCACACAAGCTCAAAAGATTAACCACCTACATACCATCCTGATGGATAGCTGATGCTCAAAGTCGTCATCTTCAGGGCTGAAAGTGACTTCTTTTCCCTCTTTCAGCTCACAGCCTGTAAAAATGGGTCAATAAGTATGATTAGAAATTTAGGGGGGGACAAAATGGCAAAGAATATTATTTTACAATACTTCAAGACATTGTCACAACATACACCTTATGATATTTAGGTTTAATAAACTGTAACAGACAAAAGTCAAACCTGTAGTGTCTCACAAACAACAATAACAAATACTACTACTAATAATACCACAACTGCAAATATTTTTATGCAATGTTTTACCAACTGCACTAAATCCAGTTAAACAGGCCTAACTGCACTCACTCTGTAACGAAAGTGACTGAGGTCCTTTAAGTGCTGACAAAACCCACGATGTGCGCTGAAAAGCTGATGACAATTTATCACGATAACGATAAAGTAGTCATGTTGCCCACCCGTATTAAGAGATAAAATCAACGACAAAATATAAAGGCACCAACTCCTTCACCCAATTACTGGGAGCAGACCACGTGGAGGACGCCCACGTGGTTCTTAGCCGGGTGGGCGCACGTAGAGAACGCACGTGGAGCAGACTTGTGTAGCACCACATTCTGCACCCCTGACAATACCTGAACCCCAAGGACCCTTTAGCGGCTCGTTTTCGTTTGAATTAAAAGTCACACCTATTCTCCTCTAAACGTTACATTAAAAAAAAGTCTTAAAAAGACATTTGAAATGTAATTAAACACCAGTTAATTTATTTTGACGTCACAGTTAAATGAAAGTGTACACGAGCGGACTATGCTGGCTATGCTCGGCTAACAACACTCGACCACGTCGGTTAATCAGGCAGTTTTAGATTTATTGACTTGTATAAGCTAATAATTTTAAAGCTGTAATATTTATTTTAAGTACGTTTTACGCTGTACGCCTATAAAGAATGCTAATTGCAATCAGGCACATAAAACCCGCTCAGAGCCGGTGACGTACCTCTGATTCAGCCAATCAAATCGCAAGAAGACACACAGGGGTGCAGAATGTGGCGGGTGTAGATTAGCGCGCAGCACCGAAGCGAAAAGGCTTCGCATTTAAAACACAAGCCAGTCTGTTTATCGTGTATTTAAGCGTTAATTAACATCACGGATGAGACAAAAAACCCCGAAAGACACAATAAATGGACACGAATTGATGTTGTGTGGCTAAATAATGTTAACAGGCAGCACTTCGTGAAGAAGGCCTGCTAACCAACGTGTGTGGACGCGCTGAAGCTAAAGCTAGCTTCTTTTTCGAATTCCCCGTTCCACCTTAAATGGCGCAGCAGTTGCGCTCAAGCACCCGAGGCGCCAGAACGTAGTGCTGCGGCATTTAAGGTGGAACGGGAAATTCCCATAAGAAGCCAAGTTCAGCCTCGTGTGGAGGCAGACATGTGCCAAGCTACCCCAGCGTGTTAGAGATCGGACAAAATGGCGTTTTTAACCAGATATAACGAACATAACGTGTACAAACATTAGCACTGAAGCTATTAATAACTCTAGACACACTGACGTTAGCTAGCTTTCTCAAGTTTCCACCCAGCTGTGGTTTGGGTTTGCCAGCCGGGTTGCTGAACAAATACATTAGAAATGGTGTCATAATTTGGCAAGTGCCTCATTTTAGTGAGCTTACAGGTAACACCGTGTCTGATAACAGTGTAGAGATCGATCCACGAGGTCTACGAAAGATAGATACCGAATGAGGGGCTAGGAGTGATGCTAACACAGCGAGCTCAAGTATATAAACACTTTAACCCCCCTCCTATGCCCTCTGGCACCCTCAGATCACTAATAAAGAGCTTTTGAGCCGTCGTGAAGTGAAATAAAGTGGTCACATGTACCGTAGAGGAAGGTTTGGGGACCCATCTGCTCGACGTCCATATCTGCGTTGGAGACTCGCTGCACTGAAGCCGAAGCCGCTCGCTGCGCGCTACTCTATACACACCCACGACCTGGGGGGCGGGGCCAAAGACCGACCAATGAGAGACGAGAACGGACGAGCGGAGGGCGGGGTTTTACGTGATGGACGGCTCTGTGAATTTCTGAAGTTACTCACTTAGAAAAGTAACTAAGTCAATAAGTAACTAACTATTTAAATAAATAAATAAATAAATAAATAAATAAATAAGCTTACATGCTAAACAGCTGTGAATTTCTGAAGCCACTAAGTACTCAAATACATGCTTAATAAAGATGGTTCTTCAGTGGTTCTGTTCAGAACCAGAGCCATTTGCGTGCTTAGGTGGTTATTTGCATGGTGAAATTGTTCTTCAGCTCGATGGAGAATGGGTATATGGTTCTTTATAGTTCGGGTTCTAAAATCTGATTGGCTGAGCCGCATTCTAAGCTGTGGTAACATAAAGCAATAAGCCACGAGAGGCCCTGCCTTACTGCCATTTCATCAGTGGTGGACGAAAGACACAAACCATGTACTTGAGTTTAAGTAGAGATACCCAGGGTAAAATATTACTCCAGTAAAAGTAGAAGTTCCTCCCTTTAGACCTCCACTTGAGTAAAAGTACAAAAGTATTTGCCTTAATATTGCCTTTATTGTCACATCACATTTACACAGGTGGTAAGTGAGTGAAAATCTTAGGATCTTAGGACCTTATAGAATTTAAATACAATATATATATAAATACAATATATATATATATATATACATATATATGTGATATATATATATATATATATATATATATATATATATATATATATAGTATATAAAGGCTGGTGTATAAAGTATTGAAAGTAAAAGTACTAAAAGATTAATTATGGCTCTGATGTCCAATTATCATTTTTGTAACAAGACTCTGCTTCATTAACTCATTTTAGGTGAAAATACTCCAGTGTCACTCTTGGTAAACCAGTCTTTTAATAGAAGGTCATTAATTAGTGACGCTGATGTCTATTAAAATTATCATAAGCACAAAACACTGAAGGCAAACAGTTTCCATCAGGTAGAACTGAGTGGCTCTGAAATCACTTTTTACAAACAAGCAAAGTTTCAGTTTAAGATTTATTTACAACTAAGTTACAAGTTTAAGTTTAATAAAAACTTTAAGTCTAATAAAAAGCTTTAATCACAGATTCACAAATCAGTTCTTCATTACTAAACTGCATCTGTAGGTCTCTGTTCATAAACATAAAATAGCAAAAACAAATTTACTATAAAATGAATTATTGCTTGTATAAATTCAGAAAAAACACACATCAGTCACAACTGCATATGAGTACATATTTCTATATAAGTACATTTACTTCATTACTGTCCACCACTGTATTTTATCACAGGGAAGGGGGTTCTTAGGCACTACGCAAAGCTGCCAACATTATAAAATGGTGGCCAACATTAAATATGATAAAATACATCTTTTTTTCAGAAAATGATTTAAGTTCTTTTCAATTATAATCGATATAAACAAGTATTCAGACCAGAAATGTAGTTTCTTTTAAGTACGGTGTCTTTGCCAAGCAACCATGGATGGCTGAATAAGGAGAATGTCTGTTCGGCCGCCCATCACTGTAAACTGCGTATAACATCGAACATGGCACAGCACTGTTTATACAAAACCTCCACTTTGTAAGTACTTTTTCACCTCCAAATTTCCACCGCGAGTCTTATTTAGGACCAATCCAGCGGCACCCTCTTCTCACACTGGGGCTGAATCTCAAACGGCTCCTTGCTCCCTACATTTCAAAACCTCCATAGCTAGCACACTACTTAGGGAATACATAAGGCGTTTGGGATTCAGCCTGGGGGAGATTTCTGACTGAAACAAATGCCTCTTTTCTACTGCAGAGCCGAACAGTTCTGAGTACAGAGGGTATTAAAAAAAAATAATAATAATTACAGTAAGTCATTATTTTCTTGCAATTTATCTAATTATATGCCAAGATGTATGTTTGTGAATCTAAGTCTTCTTCTTTTTCTTTATAAATAATAATAATAATAATAATAATTTTGGAATTATGACTCATGCTCAATTTGTTAGTGGCTGTCTCTTGATGCAGTTCAAGTTCATGACCAGTAGAGGGAGCTGAGCAGTAGTTCTAGTTTTATGTTGCACAGCTTAATTCAGGAAGTTCAAAATTCTCCAGAAAGACACTTTCATGCTCATCAGAAAGACAAAGGATTTTTTTCTAACAGTATAAAACAGGCTTTTAAATACACTGCTAAGGTGCTGCTAGGCTACTGCTATGGTATCCCAGATGGGTTGCTAAGGTGTTGCTTAGGCATCTCCATATTACCCCATATGGGTTGCTAAGGTGTTGCTAGGCCATTGCTTTGCATTTATCCCAGATGGGTTGCTAAGGTGTTGCTTAGGCTGCTTAGGCCACTGCTATGGTATCCCAGATGGGTTGCTAAGGTGTTGCTTAGGCATCTCCATATTACCCCATATGAGTTGCTAAGGTGTTGCTAGGCCATTGCTTTGCATTTATCCCAGATGGGTTGCTAAGGTGTTGCTTAGGCTGCTTAGGCCACTGCAATGGTATCCCATATGGGTTGCTAAGGTGTTGCTAGGCCACTGCAATGGTATCCCATATGGGTTGCTAAGGTGTTGCTAGGCCACTGCAATGGTATCCCAGATGGGTTGCTAAAGTGTTGCTAGGCCATTATTATGGTGTTCCAGATGGGTTGCTAAGGTGTTGCTAAGCTATTGCTGTGTTATCACATGTGGTTGCTAAGTTGCTGCTAGGCCACTGCTGTGGTATCCCAGATGGGTTGCTAAGGTGTTGCTAGGTCATTGCTATGGTATCCCAGATGGGTTGCTACGGTGTTGCTAGGCCACCGTTATAGTATTCTAGAGGGGTTGCTAAGGTGTTGCTATGTTTTTGCTGTGTTATCCCATGTGGTTGCTAAGTTGCTGCTAGGCCACTGCTATGGTATCCCAGATGGGTTGCTAAGGTGCTGCTAGGCCACTGCTATGGTATTCCAGATGGGTTGCTAAGGTGTTCCTAGGCCACTGCTATGGTATCCCAGATGGGTCACTAAGGTGTTGCTAGGCCACTGCTGTGTTATCCCATGTGGTTGCTAAGTTGCTGCTAGGCCACTGCTGTGGTATGCCAGGTGGTTGCTGAGGTGTTGCTAGGCCACTGCTATGGTATCCCAGGTGGTTGCTGAGGTGTTGCTAGGTCATTGCTATATTATTCAAGGGGTTCGCTCATTTGGTATGAGATGGGATTACTAACCATCACTGTCTGCAGTCTAAATAACCACAGTGTTAATACCCCTCTAGCCGACGCTTGCCGTTTGGCATGGTGGCTTTAGGCTTGTGTGCAGCTGCTCCAGAGCGTCCCATTCCATTGACCAAAGCTTTTCTATGGCGATTATACAAGCAGTGAGTGGTCAGTTGAACATGTGTCAGCAATGGGTAACCTTAGAAGGGAATTCTACAGATTTATTTTAGAAATTCTGCATAATTTAAGGGTTTAGAAATAGCCATTCAGAGTGGTTTGGTGTGAAATGCTCCGTTCCAGAGCAAATAGAGTCAGGGTTGTTCACAGTGGTGGTAATAGGAACCAGACGTCCAGCTCTAAAAGCTCCCTCACAGAAAGTTATTACATGAAATTGTTATGAATAGTTATGTGAGTTATGATAGTTTTGGTGGAGGGATACATGCAGGGTGTTGTGAGGCAAAATAGTCCCCAAAGAAAACTTATTATTTCAGATTTATCACTATTTTCCATCATCAACATTCCATATAAACTCAGAAGACTCCTGTAGGTTCACTGGTGGTTCTGGATAGTAAATAAAATGTCTATATCTGTGTTGTAGTCATGGCGACCCCTGGTTCCTATCACCACCACTGTAAAGACATCTGAACCATTTCACACATCTCTCTGTTTACATCTAAATAAACAGTAATTTCCACCACAAAGACACATTTTGAAGTTCGTCACAAAGTTTTATTCTAACCATCAATCGTCATTGAATAAGATCAGCATTTAACAGCATTCAAAGGTTTTTCAAACCCGTTTCTGTCCGTCCGCCTCCATGGAGAGATGTGGCACTGCGCTCAAACATGTACGCCTAATTTCCTCCTCATTTTGTTTAATGGATAATAAATTAAACTTAAATGATCTATAATGACAGATATGTTCATCACAGAGAAATAAAATGCTGAGACAGATGGAGAGCTGGATTGTCACTTGGTGAAATAAAGCAGAGCAGTTATTATACAGCCACTTCTTAAGTTCTGCTGAATGATCTTTAGACACACAAAACGATGCTCAATGGTCTGAGGCCAGACGGAGAGATGGACATATAAACAGGACAGACTGGGGACAAAGAGAGTTAACAGTAAGCAATACTGTAAATACAACACAAGACAAGACAACAGAAAAAAACGTCCAAAAGTCAATCCCGCATAACCTGATTGTAATAAATAATCATTAAACCATTTAATGCATAAAATTACATAATTAGGCTTTTATATTATATAGGCCAACATTCAAGTAAATCAAAGGGAGCATATCTGCTGGTTAAAACATGCAAACTCTTGGCAATTACAGAATAAACTGAAGTGGAAATTGCTGCCTCCTAGATGCAGTTCAAGTCCATGACAGCAGAGGGAGTCCTCGAGCTGTAGCTCCACTTTCCCGGCCTGCAGCTTGATTCAAGAAGTTCAAGGAGCTCCAGGAAGTGAGAAGCAGTGTTTTGCAGATCCAGGCTTTTCACAAAGAACTTCACACTTCCCAGAACCCAGAGTTTCACAGTTGGAGCCCACTTTCCTGAGCAGAAGACTAAGCAGGGGTGCCTACAAACCTTCTCTTCCTTTTCACAAATGAAGGAGTGAGCGTGTGTCTGGTCGTCAGCCTTCATGAGCCACACATCGCACGTATGAATCCATATGAGAGGTTTGATATACAGAGCTTAATCCTCAGAGGATCGGTCCAGGTTCTTGCCTAGATGGTAGTAAATTGAGGGTCCTTCAAATTCTTTCCGAAATCCCAAAGCGAAGCGTCCAAGAAAGATCAATCCTCAGTTTTTATATGGAGAGAAAGAAAGAGAGAGTTACAGAAAGAGTGTGCGGCCATTTTCGCAGACTCTCTCTTTCTCTCTCTCTCTTCTTGTCATGCATTCTCCTTCTCTCTCTCTCTGCTTGCCTTCTTTACATTACATTTTCAAAGAGCTGCATGGACCTCATCATCATTTCATCCTAAAGGGGATTGGAAAATGGAAAATAAAGATGGGTTAGTGTTGTATTCCATGACTGCTGCAAATCGTCACATTCTCCAACAAACACTATAATTCTCTAACATCATTCTCCATCAAACACCAACATTCACCACCAAGAACTAACATTCTCCAACAAACACCATAATTCTCTAACAAACATCATTCTCCATCAAACACCAACATTCACCACCAAGCACCAACATTCTCCAACAAACACCAACATTCTCAATTAAACACCACCATTTTCTGTAAACACCAAATTCTCCACCAAACACCATCATTCTCCAACACCAAAAATTTCCTTCAATTATTGTAATTCTCTACCAAACACCAACATTCACCACCAAGCACCAACATTCTCCATCAAACACCAACATTCTCCTTCAAATACTGTCATTCCGCACCAAACACAAACATTCTCAATTAAAATACCACCATTCTTCAACAAACACCAACATTTTCCAAAAAACACTACCATTCTCCATCAAACACCATCATTCTCCAACAAACACCAACATTCTCCAACAAACACTATCATTCTCCATCAAACACCAACGTTCACCACCAAGCACCAACATTCTACAACAAACACTATGCTTCTGCATCAAACATTCTCAATTAAAATACCATCATTCTCCAACAAACACCAACATTCTCAATTAAAACACTTTCATTCTCCATCAAACACCACCATTTTCCATAAAACACCAAATTCTCCTCCAAGCACCATCATTCTCCAACACCAACATTTTCCTTCAATTACTGTAGTTCTCTACCAGCATTCTCCATCAAGCACTAATATGTTCCAACAAACACCAACATTCTCCTTCAAAAACTATCATTCTCCAACAAACACCATCATTCTCTACCAAACACCAACAATCTCCTTCAGTTACTGTAATTCTCCACTCATCTTCATCATTCTCCTTTTCTTTCTCCACACAGATATAAAACTGCAACCCAGTGTCTAGATTAGTTGGCATTTCATGGAGAATATTGGTGTTTGGAGGATAATGATGGTGTTTGTTGGAGAATCATGGTGATTGTTGGAGAATGATGGTGTTTGTTGGAGAATCATGGTGATTGTTGGAGAATGATGGTGTTTGTTGGAGAATGATGGTGTTTGTTGGAGAATGAAGGTGTTTGGAGAATAATGATGGTGTTTGTTGGAGAATGATGGTGTTTGTTGGAGAATGATGGTGATGGAGAATGATGGTGTTTGTTGGAGAATGATGGTGTTTGTTGGAGAATGAAGGTGTTTGGAGAATAATGATGGTTTTGTTGGAGAATGATGGTGTTTGTTGGAGAATGATGGTGTTTGTTGGAGAATGAAGGTGTTTGGAGAATAATGATGGTGTTTGGAGGATAATGATGGTGTTTGTTGGAGAATGATGGTGATTGTTGGAGAATGATGGTGTTTGTTGGAGAATCATGGTGATTGTTGGAGAATGATGGTGTTTGCTGGAGAATGATGGTGTTTGCTGGAGAATGATGGTGTTTGTTGGAGAATGAAGGTGTTTGGAGAATAATGATGGTGTTTGTTGGAGAATGATGGTGTTTGTTGGAGAATGCTGGTGTTTAATGGAGAATGTTGGCATTTGGAGGATTATGATGGCGTTTGTTGAAGAATGATGGTGTTCGTTGGAGAATGATGGTGTCTGGAGGATAAAGAGTATGTTTGCTGGTGAATGATGGAGCTAGTTGGAGAACATTGGGCCAGTGTGCTGTGGTATTGGTGGTACGTACTTCCTGGCATGCTAGGATAAACTCCTCCAGTGTCACGACTCCGTCTTTGTTCTTGTCCATTTTCTGTGAGATCAGGTGGTAAACAGAGAAAACAACATTCAGCTGTCAATTTTTGTGGTGTTTTCACTGCAAAAGCTTCAGTTAACTTTTTTTTTTTTAATTTCATCTTGTTGTGTTGGTTCAGCTCCTGTTCGGCTGTGCTGTTGTTCACTCCTTTCACTTTAGAGCTTTAACATTTTATTTTAGGCTAAACAGATCCAAAAAGACAAGAACAGAATCAAACAAAGTCAGTTTCTAGGCTGATAGATGCTGAATGGACTAAAAACTCAAAAAATGGACTGAACTAAAAAACTGCAGTTCTAGAAGTTACTCTAAAGTTTCTGAACCTGATACTTTTTATCCAGGTTGATTGTTGTTACACATGTAAAAATTAGGGTTCTTCAAGGGTTCTTTAGTAAAGGGAATAGCTTTGTTTAGAACCATGAGTTTTATATAGAACACTTTCATGCTTAAATGGTTGTTTGTATGGTGAAATGGTTCTTCAGATGGAGGATGTGTTGTATATGGTTCTATATAGCACCAAAGCTTGACACTGCAACAATAGCAGAGCCCTTTTTGGTCTTACATAGAACCATTTTCAAAAAGGTTCTAAATAGAACCATGCAACACATTTTCTATCAGACTTAAGGGCCATTTCATCAGTGCCTTTACAAAAGAACCCTTGAAGAACCACCTTTTTAAAGTGCGTAGACTACTAATACTTTACATTATTTCACGGAAGTGGCAGTATGGAATTCTGTGGACTATGGAATACAGTGTGGAACACTGACCTGGAAGAAAGCATCAACATGCTGTTTAGGCACGTCTCCTTTCAGAGCAGGGTAAGTGTACTTCCCCATCATATCATAGATGGCCCGAACAATCTCTGTCATTTCCTGTAATTGAACCAGTGCATCAGAAAAAGAGGGTGAAAACACACAGCAGGATGTCCACTTTTGTATTTAACTTGATTTATTTAATCCTCTATTGCACAGTGTTGCCTCAGGGCAACAAACTCATTTTCCTCACTTTACAATAACACGTTTCACATTTAAAGACAATGACAGGGTTAACAATAAAGGGAACAGTTTGAGTAAGTCAATAAAAACCATGTTCCCGGTCATACTGTCTCTTAGTGGGCACGTTTAAACCTGCTTTTTAACATTCAGTATCATTTTTTTTGTTACGAGAATTTGAAGAAATATGTTTGTTGCCTAGAAGCAACATTGTCTGATAGTGGAATGGATTTGACCAGCCACAAGCCACTTCAGGGAACACAGATTTATATCATTTCTTCCCATTGTTGCACAATGTTGCCTCAAGGCAACACACCCCAAATTGACCACATTATTTTTAAAAAATGTTTTGATATTTTATAATCAGGTCAATTTTATGCAAGAAAAGTGAATCAAATAAATATTATTAATTGCTCTCATGTCATGTGCAGTAGAGGGTTAAGATTCTTTGGTTCTGAGCACAAATCTGAAGACTTTTTTTGACCTGATTAAACCTAAAAAATGGGCTTTTATCACTTCATTTTTCATATATCATTAAATTCAGCCTTTCAGTTAAATGAGGGCTACTGACAGTAAAAAAAATAAATTTAAATAAAAGTATGAAAATTGCATGTAATTGAAAACCTTAAACTGGGTGCTGTTAGATGTTTATCCAACCTATAGCTATACCAAATTTCATCACTTTGGACGAAATTCTGTGGCATTTATGCTTTATTAAATTTTGTTATAAGACATGAACAGATCAGATTAACATTCATTAATGATGTATTGACTTCTCTAGTTTGACTGGCGCTTAATTATTTTTGGTTGTCACAAATTTTTTGTTTAACTGTTTAATTTGTAGTTTTATGATTATATATTGACCACTTTGTCTACAACACGTCCGTCCTGAATCTTTTCCTCACACTCGCCTCTTTGCTGATGAACCCGTCTCTGTTGATGTCGTACAGATGAAAAGTCCATTCCAGCTTCTCTCTGACCGACCCTCGCAGAAGAGTGGACAGCCCCATTACAAACTCCTAAACACAGCATAGAGACTATTAAAATTAATTATTCTCGGCCACAGGAAAATCATCTGACACCAAAACTGTAACATATTAGAACAAGGAAAACATCATCACTATCATACAAAAACAAATAATTTTTCATTTTATTTATTAATTTATTTTAAATATCAGCTGTCCTTTACATTGTGTGGACACTTCATGATGAACGGACCAATGTAAGTACTCCAAAATTACTTAAAGTAACATCTCATCACTTGACATATCTCAAAGTTAAGAGGTTTCAGAGAAGGCCTAATGATTTCTGAGTTTCTATATTTTTAGTTCATTTAACATAATTAACGAATATAATCATCATGCTGCTGTAATTAAACCTTGCAAGTAATGTAGTATTACTCCTATTTTATCACTGAGCTTTGGTTGAAAACAAAAGGGTTAAAATCTTAAAATGTCCAATATAAAACTGTCCACTCAGGATTGTTTTCTCTGTGGTATCTAGGTAGATACAGCTGGTAAACTCCCCCATTGGTAAGGACTTCAGGAGCTGGACTGAAGGCCTTACATGTTAGATTAACCTCCAACAAAGAAATAAACCAATCAACAATGAGTGGGACCAATTTTGTCAGACAAAAATGTCACTTTAGGTCTTCTGGAAGTTCTAGATACGTCACTGACTGTGAAAGTGAGTCGTAGTCTAAGCAGGCTCTGGTTAGTTGTTAGGAATGGAAAACAGCGGCAGCAGCTCTGTGTCAGGACTGATACTGATGCATACAAGCTCAAATATATGTTCCTGTCTTTACTGAAAGAATCACTGTAAAACTGATACAAACAAGCTCAGATAAATCATAATGTCTTTTACAAGCTTAGCTTATCACAGACATTCTACTAGAGTCCCATAAGGGCGCTAATGGAAATTACCATTACTGTAGAGGTCTTTTTCCCTTGTTTTTGACCAAGTTTTGACATTAGTAGCCTGAACCTAAGGCCCAGCTCTAATACTCACAGTTCACTACAGTCCATTTATCATGAAATATTAAAATATTTTGATGTACAATGGGGCCAACTTTGTGAGAACGTCTCTCCAGTTCTTCTGGAAGCTCTAGATACATCACTGATTGTGAATATGAGCTGCAGTCTCAGCAGGTTCTGGTTAGTTGTTAGGAATGGAAAACAGCAGCAGCAGCTCTACATCAGGACTGATACTGACAGATACAAGCTTAAATATATGTTAACATCTTTTACAATGTTCAAATGTCTACATTAAATCTAGAACTGTTAAAAAATGTTTTGTGAATCGCTGTTAGCTTAGCATAAACATACTACTAGACTCCCATAAAGGCGCTAATGTAAATGACCATTATTGTAAAGGTGTTTTTCTCTTGTTTTTGGCCAGGTTTTGACATTAGTAGCCTGAACCGAAGGCCCAGCTCTAATACTCACAGTTCACCACTGTCCACTTATCATGAAACATTAAAATATTTTGATTTACAATGGGGCCAACTTTGTGAGAAAGTCTCTCTAGTCCTGCTGGAAGCTCTAGATACATCACTGACTGTGAATACGAGCTGTAGACTAAGCAGGTTCCAGTTAGTTGTTAGGAATGGAAAACAGCGGTAGCAGCTCTATGTCAGGACTCTTTACTGAAAGAGTCACTGTAAAACTGATACATACAAGCTCAAATATGTGTTCATATTTGTTACAAGCTCCAGATAAAACATATAAAATGTCTTTTACAAGCTTCAAATGTCTTCAAATGACATTGATAAAGTTGACTTAACCATACTGACATCAGCTCATTCCCACATAAGTGGACATGCAGATGGAATGTAAACAGTGGACCAGGATGGTCTATGTGGATCCCTACCTCAAACTTTATGGAGCCGTTATTTGTGGTGTCGAAAGCTTTAAACAGATAGTGTGCGTACGTGCTGGCATCTGGAATAAAGACGTGAGAAAGTGTGAGAATCATGATTTATATTCTTTACGAGAGGCACTTCTGAGTAAGAAACGAGGAGGACGCACCGCCATGAGGGAAAAACTGGGCGTAGATGTGTTTAAACGTCTCCTCGTTCACCACTCCGCTGGGACACTCCTGTGGAGACAAACAGTTCGGTTCAATTCAGTTCAGTTCAATTCTTGATTTAAACCTAGAACACATTTACAAAGTGGTCGAATCACTAAGAATGAAAGGGCCCATAGCGTGTAAACCTGAGTTACCCTCATTCTAAGCTACATAAACAGCCCATTTTGAAATTATTCTGTTTGTGATGTCATGAAAACCAACACATTTACGTTTGTCTGCCTACTCATCCTGCAGCAGTGTAGCCCCGCCCACTCACGCTGACATTACAAGGAGTGTTTCAGCCTGGACTGCTTTTGATTTCAGGCAGCCAATCGGATCATTTACATTTCTCTTATTTATCTTTATCTATTTATTTATTTATTTATTTATTTATTTATTTATTTATTTGTCTTAAAGGCGCAGTACCAAAACAGCCTGTTTCATTCTAAGGATAATATTAATATTAGTTGACCTAGGATACGGGCCCTTTAAAGGCACGGTAACAAAATACAGCATATTTAATTCTAACAGATCAAGAGAGATTAGTAAAGGGTCATCTAAATTATAAATTATTTTTATTATTATTATTGTTTTTAGTGAATAAAACTATGCAAACCTTGTAAGGGGGCTTCTAAAACATAAAAAAATGGATATTGGCCCTTTAATTAAACACAGGGGTCAGACTGGAACAATAGCACTGATAATAAGAAATAAAAAATAAAAATAAAAGTTATATTAAGGTTACAAATAAAAAGACAATAAAAATGAGACCATGATGATGAACAAATAAGCAATCAAACAATAAAAAGTAACAATGAACCAAAACACTTACAAACTGAACATGAGTGATTAGAAATTATATGTTTAAAAAGATTTAAGGAATAAAAGTGAGAGTTCTGAAAAATAATAATAATATTAATAGTGACAATTATAATAATAAGCATCTTGACTCATGGTACTTTACATCTATGAAAATTGGCTTATAAAACATGAAATATCAAGAAGACGGAGTGAAAATGAACATTATGTGATGAAATCAAAGAAGTAATAGAAGTGATTTATTGCGCTCATGTTGGCAAACACGCATGAGCTTATATGTGTGTGTGGGTTGGGGGGGGTTGGCCGACATATGTGTGAGTGTGTGTGCGGCGCAATATAGCGTGTAATTGTTGGCGTCATAACATATGGCAGGCTGAGTGCCTCTTGCTGCAGGCTAGTGCAGACAGATTAGCAACATACGCAGAGAGGAACACGAGCAGAATCAGTGTTTAAATATCAAACACAGGGACAAAATATGATTTATATGCTATGACATATACACTCACTGACCACCCGCGCTTCCACTCACTGCCTTCTACTTTCACTATCTGGCCACTTTATTAGAAACACCTACCTTGTGCTTCCACTCACTGGCCACTTTATTAGAAACACCGACCTTGTGCTTCCACTCACTGGCCACTTTATTAGAAACACCTACCTTGTACTTCCACTCACTGGCCACTTTATTAGAAACACCTACTTTGTAATTCCATGAAACTGGCCACTTTATTAGAAACACCTACCTTATATTTCTACTTATTGGTCACTTTATTAGAAACACCAACCTTGTACATTTACTTACTGGCCACTTTATTAAAAACACCCTACCTTGTGCCTCTACTAACTGGCCACTTTATTAGAAACACCTACCTTGTACTTCCACTAACTGGCCACCTTAAAAGAAACATCTAACTTGTGCTTCTACTAACTGGACACTTTATTAGAAACACCTACCTTATGCTTCTACTAACTGGCCACTTTATTAGAAACACCTACCTTATGCTTCTGCTAACTGGCCAATTTATTAGAAACATCTACCTTGTAGTTCTACTAACTGGCCACTTTATTAGAAACACCTAACTTCTACTTTTACTAACTGGCCACTTTATTAGAAACACCTTGTGCTTCTACTCACTGGCCGCTTTACCGGAAACACCTTCCTTTTACTTCCACTTTATGGCCAGTGAGTGGAAGTCTGAGGTAGGTGTTTCTAATAAAGTGGCCAGGGAGTTGAGTTTAATTTTGATAAGACCTTGTAAGCAACTTTTGATATCCTGACCTACATTTACTTGGAATTTCAGAGAAAGGTGGACAGGGTAAGTGTCCACATTTCAGTTCCATACTGTCAAAACTTACACACTGGTCTCATACTAAATACTAAATAATTAAACATAGTATAAATTAATAAGTTATAGTAATTACTAAATAGTCCATAGTACTGCAGATACCAATTAATAAGCTTTAAGATTAATAAGTGAATAGTGAGGCTGCTCTTTATGGAGTGAATGTAGGTCTGAAAGGTTTAATAAAACATAATAAAAAAGTGTTTAACAGTGATGGTGGGGAAAAATTATAAGTAATCTGTTCACTTGAGTGGAGCGTGCTGATATGTTTAGCCGTGCATACATTTTTGAAGCCGCGGTAGAGGACTTGTAGTTCTTGTTTGCTGAAATTGGTCTGAGCCTCGAGCTGCTCCAGGCCCTCAGGACGATGACACACCATGGTCATCTCCAACTCATCGTCCACCTTATCTGCAGAGAGAGAGAGAGAGACAGGGAGAGAGAGAGAGAGAGAGGCAGTAGTTTAATGGCTGAGGCTGAGTGCTGTAGTGGGTTGATCTGTTGGTAGTTGCGCTGGTTGGAGTTGTACTGATTACTGCACAGTACTGCTGAGGGCCTCGAGTGCAAGGTAGAGCAGTAAAAAAGTAGAGAAAAAAATGAATTTCCCCTTACAGACGTGAGTATATGTTCCAATAGAAGCTGGAAAATTTCCATTAGATACAGGCCGAGAGAAGCCGATGGCTCCTCAGTGGCGGCCCGGAGCGAGCCGACAGCTTTTCATCAGAAAAACAGCATATTCTGCTCAGGGCGAAGCAGAACTGCAGCAGAATCTTTAACTTCATAAAGCCAGAGAGGAAAAGAACCTTGAATGACTTCAATATTTTACATGCACCCCCCCCGCCTAACACACACAGTGTGCCCCGCAGGTGCAACTCTAGCTGTGTCAGCTGCGCTAAGATGATGGGCTACTGAGGAGGAAGGTAGGAGTGAGAGATTTCTGCAGGACTGAAATTTAAAGAGTAAACCTTCAAATTTTCCCCAAAGACTGAAGAAATATAGACGAAAGGATGAGTAGAATTCACGCTTTAAGATGTTAACATTGCCTTTATCATTGTGACGTACTACTGTCCATGTTTATAGACAACCAGCGGGGAACACTCAGAGCCTTCTAGGCCTTCAGAGAATGATGAATGTTTTCTTATCTGTAATTTTTAGTTCATTTTTTATTCAGTAGAATTTTGCATGCATTTAAACTCTGCAAGTATTACAGCACAACTTTTATTTAATTTTTTTGTGACCAAATGTTTTTATTTTTAAGATAAAGCTCCAGTGTAGTATCAAAAACAGTAGGCAACAGAATATAGCAACAAAATGGAGCACCCAGCCCCCTATAGTTCCCCACCCACATGGCACCCATAAACCTACCATTGATTAAGGAAAAAAGGAATAACCAGTACAGTATAATGAATATAATACCAGCTGTAATAATACAGTAATGCTGCTGGAAATAAAACAGGTTTCACAATAAGTTACCAATCCTCTTAGGTGCACTTTACAAAGTGTTCAAGGTCCTCCAGCTAGCACCATGGATCCTTGATGTTAAAAGTTCCTTATTAACCCTCTATTGCACAATGTTGCCTCAGGGCAACAAACTCATTTTCCTGACTTTACAATAATGTTATACATATTTAAAGACAACAATAGAGTTAACACAAATTTAAATCTCTTTTTTAATGTTCAGTATCAATTTTTTTTGTTATGAGATTTTGCAGAAATACGTTTGTTGCCTAGAAGCAACAATGTGCAACAGTGGAATGGATTTAGCCAGTCACAAACCAGATCTTACAACTTCAGCGAACACAGCTCTATATTATTTCTTCCCATTGTCGCACAATGTTGCCTCAAGGCAACATACTCCAAAAGGACCCCTGAACACATAATTTTTTTTTATGTTTTTGAATGTAATAATCAGGTCCGAAAAAATAAATCAAGAATAAATTTATGCAAGAAAAAATCGCTCTGATAATGTGTGCAGTAGAGGGTTAATAATGTCCACAAAGGTGAGGATCCGTTGCCGCCAGCACAGAGAATGTGGAGGTTGCCAGTGTAAAGCTAACATTTTATTGGCAGCCAACCAGATTCACTTTTCAGTACAAGTTAAGTTACATTTAGAGTCGTCATTTAGAAGAAAAGTTTGGACTGTATTTGGAATGGTTTTATTGAGAATATTTGACAAAAACAAAGCTTAGTCCAAAACTTACGCACATATAAACACTCCCAGTACATATCTAAAAATGTACCATATCTAACATCAGAACAAAAATTGATTTTATTCTTAAGTTTTGGATGGAAACAAAAAATCCTTGATACCCAAAGGTAAACTGGCCAATCAGGAATGGGTATCTAGGTAAGGAATCTAACAGCTGACAATGAGCATAATTAGGAAGTCACAGAGGAATCGACCAATCACATTGTAAAAGTTTTGATTTACACTGGGACCAATTTAGTGAAAAAACAAGTCACTCTAGGCCTTCTGGAAGTTCTAGATATGTCACTGTGCATACAAGCAGCAGCTTAACCAGTTGTTAAGAATGGAAAACAGCGGCGGTAGCTCTACACCAGAGCTCACTACTGAAAGAGTCACTGTGGAACTGATACAAGGTAAAATACATCGCTGCTGTCCAAAGAAAACCATGTATCTCAATTTTTGTCAATTTTTATTGTTCTATATCATTTCAGTATACCAGCTGTCCTTTACATCATGTATAAATTTCATGATGAATGGACCAATGGAAATGCTCTAAAATCACTTGGAATGAAATCTCTTTACATTGACTTACATTGAAAGGTAACAGTGTTTTTACCTTCTCCTGTAAAGTTACTATTTTGGAGATACTTGTTTTCGTTAGACAGCGACAATATGCTAATTTGTCTGTTATAAGCTTAAAGTAAAACATAGAATGTCTTTTAGTTGCTTCAAATGTCTGTGTTTAATCTGGAACAGGCAAAAATGTTTATCTGAATTGCTGTTAGCTTAGCACTAACGAACTACAAGACGTCCAAAGTGAAGCTAGCAGAAATTATCATTATTATAGAGGTGGGTCTCATGTTTTGACCAAGTTTTGACATTTATGACCCAAATTAAAGGCCCAGTTCTAACAGAGAACAGCATATCGTACAGTGTCAGAAGCCACACAAGCAATTCTGTGTGAGATATCAGCCCAACACAGTTTGAGGCAAGTGTGTAGTTTGTGCAATGCTAATTAGTTTGAGCTTCCATTTGGTAGATATATTCGCCTCGTAGCTCCAGATTATAGCAAGAAAGAACTTAAGGACTCTACGAATATCTTAGCATGCCATTTGGAGTGAAGGACACAGTTGTCTAAATTACATATATCAGCAGGCTGTTCCTTAAACATCTACCTACCGGCCACTGTTTTAGCTCAGCTGTGACTGGACTGACATCATGCACAAAGACAACATGTGATTAGCAGTGAGTCACATTTCAATCAATATGACACGTGTGCAGAGATGGTTAAACACTAGTCACTATCTTTAGTTCTCTCCCTCTTTCTTTCTCACTTTCCTCTCCAGTTTAAAGTTACAATTCTGCCATAAGCTGTGGTCAGAGTCAGGGCTGGAAATGGCCAGGTTTTAAAGGGGGGGGTGGTTCTTTTTCTGTTTAAGTCTTGGTTCCTCTTGGTGGTTCTTCCTCCTGCTTTTAAGGACTTTTTCTGTTTAAGTCTTGGTTCCTCTCAGTGGTTCTTCCTCCTGCTTTTAAGGACATTTTCTGTTTAAGTCTTGGTTCCTCTTGGTGGTTCTTCCTCCTGCTTTTAGAGACTTTTTCCGTTTAAGTCTTGGTTCCTCTTAGTGGTTCTTCCTCCTGCTTTTAGAGACTTTTTCCGTTTAAGTCTTGGTTCCTCTTAGTGGTTCTTCCTCCTGCTTTTAGAGACTTTTTCCATTTGTCTTGGTTCCTCTTAGTGGTTCTTCCTCCTGCTTTTAGAGACTTTTTCCGTTTAAGTCTTGGGACCTCTTAGTGGTTCTTCCTCCTGCTTTTAAGGACTTTTTCTGTTTAAGTCTTGGTTCCTCTCAGTGGTTCTTCCTCCTGCTTTTAAGGACTTTTTCTGTTTAAGTCTTGGTTCCTCTCAGTGGTTCTTCCTCCTGCTTTTAAGGACTTTTTCTGTTTAAGTCTTGGTTCCTCTCAGTGGTTCTTCCTCCTGCTTTTAAGGACTTTTTCTGTTTAAGTCTTGGTTCCTCTCAGTGGTTCTACATCCTGCTTTTAGGGACTTTTTCCATTTAAGTCCTGGTTCCTCTCAGTAGTTCTTCCTCCTGCTTTTAGGTACTTTTTTCAGTTTAAGTCTTGGTTCCTCTTGGTGGTTCTTCCTCCTGCTTTTAGGGACTTTTTCTGTTACATTCTTGGTTCCTCTCAGTGGTTCTTTTAGGGAGATTTGACCCCCTCAGTTATGCTCATTCAGGGGCTGCACGCACATTTCTTTACAAAACTACTTGAGGACAATGCTCTTGTAGAAAGGATGCAATTCAAATACTACTGAATGTAATGCCTTAGTAGAGATGATGAGCACACTCTTAATAAGAAAGTATCCTAAATGGTTCTTGGCCGGGTTCTTAGGTCTAAGGAAAACCTTTAATTGATATAGTCCTTTACACTATGTAGAGGTTTGTTAAACTTTAAAAAGGTTCTTCATACTTGCACATTTTTAAATAAGCATCTACTGAAAGGCTCTTGAAGGAACCACAATCTGATGTCCTAAGGCAGGGGTGCACAACCCTGGTGCTGGTGCATCATAGTTTGGAGGTATCCCCTTAAACACACCGAATAACCTGCCAGTTAACAGATAAATGCAATCAGGTGTGTCTTAGTAGGTAAATCACCAAACTGTGCTGGACACCAGCCCTCTAGGACCGGAGCTGTGCACCCCTGTTCCAAGGCAATGCTCCAAAGATCCCTTATTGCCACAATTATTTTTAGAGTTTAGTCAGTTTAAGGAAGGAATATTAAGGAGGCGCTTGTCCTTCACCCTAGCTCTTCCCCCGAAGTTGCAGATTAATATCCTTGGCAGATTGTTGGCAGCGTGAAAGCCAGGCTAATCATGTCTAATGCTAATACGTTTCAAGTTGTCAGGTTTATGATAATCTGGATTAAGAAAGCAGAGCACTAAAGCATTCCACACGAGTGGCTTCCAACATCAAGGGCTCGGTGTGGGGGGAGGCTTCCCCATCCCTTTCTCCACAGCACACAGATCCTCCTAAGCCTCATCTCTTCCTTGGTGCCACAATCCAAGATCGTTCTGTTCCTCTTTGACATTGTTTTCGTTTCTTTCTCGTTCTGTTTGCCTTTGTTCGTAACCCCCCTGTTCACGTCTCGACGTTCTCAGCTTCTGTCTCCATGGAAACACTTCATCCGCCCACGAGATACACAGTCAGACGGGAGGGCGAAGTAAATAATCACA